GCTGGAGCACGTGTGAATGCTCCTTCAACTATGCCTCCTGCTGCCTCCACCCCTGGAGGGGACGGAGGGGACAAGGCAGAGATGGAGCTGAGCCCCTCAGTCTCGCTGGAGGTGGTGATCCGGCGGGGGGGGGGAAGGCAGGCATCAAGAGGCGCCGGAGCGTGTATGAATGCTCCTTCTGCCTCCTGTTGTTGCTGCTGCCTTGGCCACAGAAGGGACAAGCCCGGAGCTCTGAAAGAGGCAATTGGGTGACAGCGGTGGCAGCAAGAGGTGCCCGAATGTGCGTGCATGACTGCTTCCTTCCGTTTATAAGACGACCCTCCATTTTTCCTCTGATTATTTTAGGCAATATTGTCATCTTGTACATGGTAAAATACGGTACCTGCATTTCCGAATATGATGGTTTTCTGTGATGTATTTGATAAGGGGAAAGTATCAATAGTGACCTTTGGAAATTACTGTAGAGCTGTTCTTAAATTGCAGGATGATTATCAAAATTCAAAATAGTCACAAGGACAATTTTTGGAGTCAGGTGTTATGAATGTTGAATAATTTTTGCTTGAATGTTAGTACTTGGCCTATGTCATCAAGGCTGAACTTTTAGACCTTTTTATATGTGTTTTATAGTGCTTTATAGGTAACATATCTGGGCTCTCTTCTGAGGAGCTGGCATTCTTGCAGAAGATGTAAAGGAGACTGCAATTTTGTCCATGGTTTCCCTAAATGAGCCTCAGTGCCTATCAGTGAGATCTGATTCTGTGCATCACATGTTGACTATATAATTCTGTGCATACAGTTCATTCACAGTGCAAACCTATACATTATTATTTAGAAATAAGCCAGTTGAGTTCAGTGGGACAATCCTATTAATGATTGCTTGGGGAAGTGCTGTGAATTTTGATAAGGCTTGCTTTCAGTTAGGCACTGCAGCAGTTATTCAGACATATACAGCATTCACACCTGTGTTCATATTCACATTTATTGTGATTATATTATATTGTTTCTTTATTTTTCATTGAGGTCTTTTCTGACAGCAGCATACAATATTTGTATCAGAAGAGAAGACTCCTTAAATAAAATACTGATAAAAATAATGACATGTTCATATCTTTATTTTATTTTTTTCCTAGTAAAAATTGCCACACCTTGAAATCTAGAGTGGAAAGAGAAGAGTCTGAAGAGGAACCTGTGAAAGATAATATGGTACATTAATGGCTTAAAGAGAGCTCTATCTTTTTATTTGCGTGGGGAGAATTTGGCAATATATTGGGGACTGGAGATTGAAAATACATAATTGCTGAAATGTAATAGTAAGTTCCCCTTCATGGATTGCTGCCTTGTCATGGTGAAGGGGCTTGAGTAATTCAGAGAAGCTATGGGCTATGCCGTGCAGGGACACCGAAGACGGACAGGTCATAGTGTAGAGTTCTGACTATATGCGATCCACCTGGAGCAGGAACTGGCACACCACTCCAGTATCTTTGCCAAGAAAACCCCACGAACAAAAACAGAATGCTAACAAATGACGCTGGAAAATGAGCCCCTCAGGTCGGAAGGCATCCAACATGCTACTGAGGAATAGCGGAGGACAAGGACAAGTAGCTCCAGAGCTAATGAAGTGGTTGGGTCAAAGTCGAGAGGATGCTTAGCTGCGGACATGCCTGGAAGTGAAAGTCCGATACTGCAAAGAAAAATAGTACATAGGAACCTGGAATGTAAGATCTATGAACGTTGGGAAGCTGGAAGCGGTCAAACAGGAGATGGCAAGAATAAACATTGACATCCTAGGTCTCACTGAACTAAAATGGACAGGAATGGGCAAATTCAATTCAAACAGTTATCATATCTACTACTGTGGGCAAGAATCCCGTAGAAGAAATGGAGTAGCCCTCATAGTCAACGAAAGAGTGGGAAAAGCTGCACTGGAATACAATATCAAAAATGATAGAATGATTTCAATACGAATCCAAGGCAGACCTTTCAACATCACAATAATCCAAGTTTATGCACCAACCACCGATGCTGAAGAAGCTGGTATTGACCAGTTCTATGAAGACTTACAACATCTTCTACAACTGACACCAAAGAAAGATGTTCTTCTCATTATAGGGGACTGGAATGCCAAAGTAAGGAGTCAAGAGATAAAATGAACAACAAGTAAATTTGACTTGGAGTTCAAAACGAAGCAGGACAAAGGCTAATAGAGTTTTGTCAAGAGAACAAGCTGGTCATCACAAACACTCTTTTCCAACAACACAAGAGGTGACTCTACACATGGACATCACCAGATGGGCAATATTGAAATGAGATTGATTATGTTCTCTGCAGCCAAAGATGGAGAAGCTCTATACAGTCAGCAAAGGAAGACCTGGAGCTGATTGTTACTCTGATCATCAGCTTCTTATAGCATTCAAGCTTAAACTGAAGAGAGTAGGAAAAACCACTGCGCTAGTCAGGTATAATCTAAACCAAATTCCTTATGAATAACAGTGGAAGAACAGATTTAAGGAACTCGATTTGGTGGACAGAGTGCCTAAAGAACTATGGATGGAGGCTCATAACATTGTACAAGGAGGTCAATAATTTCTAATTTTGTTTCACATAAATAATTATCTGTCATAAGGAAATATGGAAGTTCTTTTACTATATTTCTGTTTATGATCTTTGGTGGTCATTGGAGCTCTGAAGAAGTGGGAGTTGCCACAGAAATTCACATTAAAATATAACAGTTCAGGCTGGTCCCATCCCACCCATAGCTGAGAACCCATCTTTTCAGACAGGCTTTTAACAATTATGATTGAATCCCCAAATGCCTTTTTAAAATTAAGATAGTCATATCACACGTTAGCAGGGTTATGCTCATAATCCTACATGGTAGGCTTCAGCAGTATGTGGACCGGGAACTCCCAGAAGTACAAACTGGATTTTGAAGGGGCTAACATGCGCTGGATTATGGAGGAAGCCAGAGAGTTCCAGAAAAACATCTACTTCTGCTTCGTTGACTGCAAAAGCCTTTGATTGAGTGGACCACAGCAAACTATGGCAAGTTCTTAAAGAAATGGGAGTACCTGGCCAGTTTTTCTGTCTCCTGATAAATCTATATATGGGACAGGAAGCAACAGTTAGAACTGGATATGCAACGATTGGTTCAAAATTGGGAAAGGGGTATGACAAGGTTGTATATTGTCCCCCTGCTTATTTAACTTATATGCAGAATACATCATGCGAAAGGCTGGACTGGATTGTCTTTACTGCTTCTTCAGTATATTCACCCCAATTCTAGAAGTATTTTGAGTGTGCAAAAGTCTGGTAGTTTGAGAACTACAGATGTATCAGTGGACTAGTAATTTTTTTTAGCAGAAGCTAACATTCTTAGGCTTCTAATTACATTTTGAATATTTTGACTCTTTAGTATTGCTCAACCATTTCTCATATAGCTGCACTAGATTTCAGGTTATCTCCGATTTGCTCGTTACAGATAGCAGTTTGAAGGATTATTGTAAGTATTGATAACTTGAGGCGGCTATTAGAGAGTTCTTTTGCTGCCTTTTTTAAAAAGGATTTTGTATTGTACTTACAGCTATAATCTGTGTAAACTACTTTAATTTCATTTTTACTTCCTATAGTGATGCAAAGACAGTTGTGGTTCCCTGTAGCATTTGTACATAGCCAAAAATGTGCTCCTGTAGATTAGAGGAAACACTGCAGGTGCATACTGTGTAACTAATGATTTTAGTGTGTGTTTTCATGTAGGCTCTTAACAACTCTGGGCTCCTGTGCAGAAACATAGGATATAAATTAAATTAATATTGATATTAACAACATAGAAGGGTACAACAGCTATTTTCTTAATTTAATGCTGTCCTTAAACTAGTGCAAGCTTCTTTTTAAAGTATTTGTTGTATAAATGGCTTGCACTTGAGTCTGAGAATGATCACCAGATTCTTCCCATTTAGAGAGCAATGGAGAGTACAGTATGGAAGACTGTAAATTACCATCTATACTCTCTTTAAGGAACGGCTCTTCAGAATGCAGGATATCTCATAGAATGAAAGATGATGTGAAGAATTTGAATGCTGATAAAGTTAAGAACGATCTTCTATTAAGCCCTGTGTGCGTGCGTGCGTGCGTGCGTGCGTGCGCGTGTCTTTGTCTTTAATTCTGTATAAATATATATATCTGTAGTCCTGTATATTGTCCAGCAATGAGAATCTCTGTCCTAAGAATGAAACAGTTGGGTAAATGTCTGATTTGTTACTAAAAAGAGCACTAGTTGTGGAAAGATGCAGGAATTGGAAGAGATAAAGTGCTCTAGTTTAGTTATGTTCTAGTGCATTTTAAATGGTGAGGGCAAAGTTTATGGTGAGGGCACTATGTTTCTGCATATTGTGATTAGTAATCTGAAGCGTTTAAATGCACTTTCCATTTGATCCCAGTAGATGCCTAGGAGGAGCGCTAAATCCCATGAGAGACGGAAACAGGCTTCACCAGAAACAGAGCAAGATTGCCCAGGTAAGAGGAAAGTGATGTGATTTTTTTTCTCTCTCCAGGTTTACACTGAAGCTTTTTCACCTTAATTATATGGTATTAGAGGATTAGCATATTATACAAGTCTGCTTCAAAAATTCTGCTTACTATTTTTTTAAACTCAGATGATCCACATTTGATAAAAGTTTGGGTACCCAAAGGACTGAAGAAAGTTGCCAGTCGGATCACAGAGTCTGATGTTATTCTAGATGAATTTGGAAAGATAACAGCAAAATACAGGTAAGTTTCTTTATGACTAGGAACCCTCTTGTGATGATCAATCTAAACTACACTTTGATACAAAATTTTAATCTTTGTTATAGATAAAGTGCATTACTGCTGTGCTGTTTGGATACACAGAAGCACAAAAAAGTTATTGCAGTCCTTGAAGAATAATTGTCTTTTTGAAGAAGCATACTGTATTTTCCAGTGCCAAAAGAGCAAAATATCAAGGATTTGAAATCTTTTACATTGGTATTATTTGGATCACAGAACAAATCTGTGATACAGAGATTTTTTCCCTCCAACCCAAATTTAAACCTTATTCAAGATGAAACTACAATGAAACATACCTTTTGAACTACTGTGTATTTGGTTGATAGTAGGAATGCATGTGATAATAGCAATTAGATTCAAGATGCGACTTAAATAAATCAGCCTTATCACTGAAAACAACCTTGAGTAGGAGAAATGTTGATTATTGGCATTGACTGATTTTTATTAGTTCAGATGCTAGAATTTGCATATCTCAGTTAACCTTATTTGGGTACATACACATTTATTTAACTTATCGTTTATGTGTTTCAGACAAGGAGTGGAGTCAAAGATATGTAGGAAAGCTATAGATAGCTTTTATGCTGGGTTCAAGGACCAGCTTATCAAAGCTGTAAGTAAAGTCACTTATGTACCTGGAATTGACATTCTATCCAATTTGTAAAATAGTTTACTCACTGAAAACTCATTTAAAGTGCCATATGCGATTTTTCTTCACATTCACTTTTTGTATGCCACTTTCTCTATAAAATTCATTTTTGTGTACAGTTCTTGAGCAAAGATCTTCATAGAAGTATTTAACATGATTAGCTATATTTAGATGTGCATCATAGATTGGGAAGTGCGAATTATATTAATTTAAAATGTTAACTAAATAAAATTGTCATATATTACTAATATTGTTAATTCTCTGAACACTAATCTTTATGTAGCAAGATATCAGATCCCCCACCACCACTAAATGATGGCATCAGCGAACTTGGGGAAACCTCAAGATTTGGAAGGATATCTGAGCACACCTCACTCCCAATAACAATAACTAACTGGAAGTAGGGGTGGAAAACTGGATAATAGGGGAAGTAGAACAAAATCAGGTATCATGTAAGTGGGTGTCACTGATTGGAACAGTAGACAGGTCCTTTGTTGCAAATGCTTCTTGTGTGCCTAGACCAGTGATGGCAAACCTATGGCACATGTGCCACAACTGGCACATGGAGCCCTTTCTGCAGGTACGTGAGCCATAGGTCGCCAGATGGCTACTTCTCCCCCCCCCCCCACCGGCAGCCAAATCTGAGAAGGCGGCCGCAGCCGTGATGCTGGCGGTTCAGCAGGCGGATCCGGAGCAGCTGGTACTGGCAGTGGATCCGGAGTGGGTTCTTGAGGCACCTCTGTGCCGGGATTCTCCCTTCTGCCACCACTTCCGGTTCTGCTGCAGCCCACTTCTGTTTGTTTTTCTACTTTGGGCACACAAGCCCGAAAAGGTTCACCACCACTGGCCTAGAGAAATGAATAGTAGTATCGTTATAGGAGAAATGAGTATTCTTTGCAATTTGTAACAGTTTTGGTTGAGTGCAAAGTTGGAAGTAATTTCTGTCTTAAACTTTGAAGAGTTACTACAAGTCACATAGAGAGAGTAGAGAATAGGATCTGATGTAAGCAGCTTATATTTGTAATTAGAATACCCTTGCTTAAAGATTATTAATATAAAGAGGGTTTTAAGCACTTTTACAATATTTGAATTTGTTAAACAAATTATAATATATAGCAGAAAAGGGATATACTACACTACTTATTCATCTGAGTTGTACTAATACAGCAAGAAACTTGCATAGTATTCCAGAATTGGGAGCTCACCTGAAACTCTGTGATCAGGAACCATCCTCACATCAGTTGATCAATGTAGGTTAGAAAAAGTTTGCAGTGTGTGAGAGTGCAGCTGGAATATAGAAAAGGGGCCAGAGGCAAGAGAGATGGGGCTGTTGGATAAGGAAAAGCTTTGTACTGACTGTCCTTAATTTGAGTAGCCATCCCCTTTGAAAGGGAGACAGCTGTTATCCTCTGGATGATGTTTTATGTTTTGACTCTGCTGGTTAGTGCTACAGAAACATTCAGTGCATTAACTGCCTATTACACAATATCCTTTAAGAAATGCTCTCCAAATTTAATTTTGGTTGTTTTGCTGTATTGATTATGTTATGGAAGTGGATGGGGGGCATTTGGGGGTTCTTGTTTTACTCCATACACTGCCCAGAGTAGTGTGTATTCACTGATCGGGCAGCATATCAGCATCAGCATCATAGAACTGCAGATCTGGAAGGGACCCTGTGGATCATTGAGTCCAACTGTTGTCAAGGAGACACAGTGGGGGAATGAATTCGCATTTTCTAGCTCCACAGCCAGATATCTAAATCACGGAGCTATATAAATTAAATCAAACATCTGAGGGACCTCAAGTGCCCACTCCAGCCTTGCTCGTTGTGTCTCCTACTGACTGACTTACCCTGCTCCTGTTAGTGTCGAGGCACTACTGTGGGTGGTTACATCTCTTGTCTCCCAAAACTACAAAGGATAATCTGTATGAATATTCTACAAAAAGTAGAATCACTTACATGGAAAACAAAGAATATTAAAGGAGCTTGTATTTGGATATCCTTTCCTGGTGATTCTGAGGACTGGAAAGCGTAACTCCTACTAGTCCTGACATATTGAGAAGCTAAATTTACTTTTCAAAGTTGTAACCATGTTAGTCTGTGCAAGCATTTCAATAGGAATCACAAAACAAAAGCAAAAAAAGACATTTTGACACTTTAAAGACTGTTATTTTTAAATATAAGCTTACATGCAAGTAGACAAGTCATGAAAGGTTAAAATATAGTATAAAATATAGTTATTCTTTAAAGTACCAATATATATTTTCCTTTGTTTTATTTTGTGTTTATAAATTTACTTTATAATCTATTTTATTAAATTGGAAGGTTATGCTGCATTACTGGTGTGTATTTTAATTAGATCACAGATGCTGAAGAACTGAAAAATGCAAAACTGAAAAATACAAAGGTAAGAAGTTATCTATATTATTTTGCATAGGTATTGAATCAGGACACATCAATGGATCACAATTAGAATTCTGTTGTAAAAGCAGTCTTTCAAAGTTTCTTGTGAACCTAGCTGTAGAGACTGGATCCTTTTTCTGTAGTTATCACTTCAGTTATCTTAGTCATTGTTGGGAAACCCATTCTGTCACATTTGCCCAGAGTTCTTCCTCCCTCATTCACTTTGGAGGACAAGTGAAGGCTTAGTCTTTCTTTATGTACAAGGTGATCATTGTAGACTCCAAGAGAGCATGATAAACAGTATGTATGTATTTGGGAAACATTGTGCTCAGCCAACATATTTAAACCACCCCATCATCGATCAGCACTGATGCCTGTATATCTTCCTCTGCTTCTAGAAATGTTTCTTAACAATAGATATGAGTGTGTATGTGACAGCTGTCATCAGAGTCGGCTTTTGCAGCTGGGCAGGCAGAAGGGGATTCCCCATGCCAAATTGGTGGATTTTCACAGAGGTCATTTTCTCCCAAATTCATGGTTGACTGGATTGGGAGTGGAGGGGATAGAGAGAAAGTTTCTCAGACTGTTCAAATCTGTTTTTAGATTTTGGAATTCCCTGCCTGAAAAACCAGCTGAGCCCTCTCTGGATTTCCATGTTTGTGTGAAAACTTTTTATAAGGTTTTAGTTGTTAACAGTTTTAGCAAGCTTGTTGACTGATTGTTATAGCTTCTTCACTACCTTGAATTATTTTAAACGGGGGGATATAAATGTTCTCAATAATTAAGTCTACCTGGTACCTACAATATGGAAAATAAATTCCAGCTCCTTTAATATTACCAGGAAATTTGTCACTAAATTACAGTGAAAACTGCTCACTAAGAAGATATAGGAAAAGTATTTAACAATTTTCAAATTTGAGATATTTCTTGTTCCCACTATAAACTTTGATAAAAAGGAACAGCTGTTATAATGTGCCTCTTTTCTACTTCAGAGTGTAGTGGAAGTTCTGCAGTATTAGAACAGAACTAGTAAAACAGCTGTTAAGGTCTTTGTATTTTGCCTGTTCATTTAAAAAATACATCTTTGCTGGCATTACAGATAATCAGAACAACAAATAAGAAAAGGCAACATTTGATAGAGGTTAAAGAAGAACTAATTAGGTAAGTTATCTTTGATTAATTGTTAGATAATCTAGCAAGACATTGATTACATCTTATTCAGATCAGAAGGCTTGCTGTATTACTAAAGTCTAAAAAGTTTTCTTAAGACTTTTTGTTATTTGTGTACAGTAAAAATATTATTAATGTTTTTTCTGGCTACAAGCTATAACTTGTATGTGGCCGATAAACAAGATTATTATACTCAGTAATATCTGATTACAACAGGATGTTTAGTCTAACAGATTTCCTCATGCTCAGCTCCATCTGCTTAACTAACATTTTGTCCTTAAAATATGGCATAAACACAGACCATGGACACAAGTCTGACCTTAAGTTCTGTAGCATCTGTGCCAGTGGTATAGCTGATAACTATGGTGGCTAAGCATACAGTACTGTACATTCTAAACCACATTCCAAGTACAACTGTTTGAGTTTTAAGACCAAAAATATACACTGATGGGTAAAAAAGTATGTCCCATAAATCCCTCACTATATTTGGACTACAAATGTGATTTTTCTGTAGTGGAGGATATTCCTCCCTCCTTACTCTGATAGTTATGCTACATTAGCCAATAGGAATGTGGCATTCAGATTTTTCGAATGCCATCGCTTAAGAATTTCCCAGACAGAATTCTGGGAGTTCCAGGTTGTAGACCTGTAACTACATTTTGCTCACCTGCAGAAGGTCCCAGTTTGAAGGCTCCATGGTTTAGCTCTGGCCTAGTTTCCTATTTAAAAAGGAAGTTGCCGTGGGCTTTAGGGAAGTGTAATTTTGTTTTTAATTACAAATACAGTTTTCAGGTCTGAATAGAGTGAAAAATGGCATATGTTTAAGCTGGATTCAGAACATGAAGAGACACTAGCGATCATATTGCAAATATATGTTGTTTACTGTTGTGTATCAAAGAATTTCAGAAGGAAATGAGCCTGTGGTTTTGAGTTTACAAAACCCTATAGACTACAAAAATCAATGGATCATTCTAAAAGAAATGAGTGTGCTGTAAACATTTAATTAACTTGCTATATAACCCATAGTCATTTTAAGTGAAGATTGTAGCCAACAAATCAGAAGACTGAAACTTAGAATGACATTTATAAAGGAGCTAGAGGAGATACTTATGAATAAAGTCATGTCTTTGAAGACCAAGGCCAAGATCATCCCTATCATTGTACAGTGGTGCCTCGTTTAACGATTTTAATTGGTTCCAAAAAATGCATCGCTATGGGAAAACATCGCTAAGCGAAACACGGTTCCCCAATTGAAATGCATTGGAACCTATTCAATGCATCTCAATGGGGGAAAAAAATTACAACAAATTTAAAAAGAGTCGGAACAAAGTCAAATTAGTTTAACAAAGGGTTTATTAAGTGCACTTATGATTTCAAGCATTTTAAACATTTTTAAACATATAAAAAACATTGTTAAACGAAACAGGGGGACCCAAACTGTCATCGCTATGCAAAGCATGGTCCCAAACATCGCTATGCGAAAATCGCCCATAGGGAACATCGTTAAACGGAGCGCAAGATCACTCCGAAAAAGCCATCGCTAAGCGAATTCGTCGTTAAACGAAGCGCTCATTAAGCGAGGCACCACTGTATTTTCTATTGCTGGGTGCAGATGTGAAAACTGGATGGTGAAGAAAGCTGACGGGGAAAATCAATTAATTGGAAGCATAGTTCTGGAGAAAACCCTGGATTCCTAGAAATAAAAATGACAAAACCGGGGCTATCATTTTTTGGACATATGATACACATTAATGTACTGGAAAAGATAGTAATGCTGAGAAAAGTAGAAGAAGGTAGGAAGAGAAGACAACCAAATGTGAGACAGATTGACTCAGTAGAGGAAGACACAGCCTTGAATTTTTACATAATTGTTAAAGATAATAACTTTTGGATGTCAGTAATTTATAGCATTGCTGTCAGAAGCAACTTGATGGCAGAAAACAAGAACAGTCTTATACTATATAAAGCCCTGTTCAGAGCTTGGAAAACTGCTTTCTAAAACCTGATGGTTTCTGTTAATCATAGTGTGACACTGAGAAGCATTTCATGTCACGATTGTGTCATTTTTAAATACCACTTCATTATGTAGTCACCACAACAAAAAAAGGAAGTGACTTGCATATATCCTCTAGCTGTGTTATTTGTGACTTTACACCAAAGCATTGATGTAGGAAACTGGAATCTATCCCTAAACAGAGAAAGAGTTTCACTGCCTATACAACAAAACAGTTTACTGCTATACCTGACACATTTGTGAAGGACAGGAGGCTAGTGAGCCATCCTCAGCAAAGGATGGACAGAAGGAAATGTGTGGATGCGTAGAGGACGTACTCGTAAAAATAGAAGAGGAAGAAGTGAAGGAAAGGCGGTAGAGGTGTGCTTGGCGGAAGATAAGGAAGGAGACAAGGGGGAGGAGCAAGATCTGAGTGTGGGAGGAGGTTATAAAAGAGTGGGGTGACGTGCTGGAATTTAGAGTGGAAACGGACAAGACAGAGAAAAGCACAAAAGACAATGCGGTACAGATAGAAGGGAGTGATGAGGGATCTAGCAAGGTCTGTGACTTACTAACAGATTTTCCCAATCTTAAAACAGGAGGGGGATTATTCCCTGATCCGAGCTTACCCAGAAGTGAAGGAAAGGGGGTGAAACCACTAGAATGGACAGTCGTGGTTTACCCTCGCAATCAAGGTGGAGGGAGGAAAGTGATCTATCCCAGTCCCTCCTACAACAACCCATCTCTAGAAGGGGACTGGGCGAGACACCCTTCTTGTGGGACGATGTGTGCAGTGAGGAGCACCCCCTTGAGAGTGATAACCGACTGCGAGTGCTTTGGTCCAGCCCCAATGTGAGGAGTGACATATTTACACCAGAAGTGAAGATCTTGAGTTATAAGACGATCCCAGAGTTAGCTGTTTTGATCCATTTAAATTTGCTAGTTCAGAAGTTGATGTTAATAAAGTTGAAGCAGTTGGTCATTCAAAACCGTATCCAACTCTTATTCCCACCAAAATGAGAGAACCATCACCAGTTTTAGAAGAACCTGATCACACCATTCAATTGATGCTACAACATGCATTCTATCTGTCCATCTCTGGTTTGTCATCTCATATTTGGAATACTGTTGGCAGCTGATTTTCCATGTTGCCACAGACAGATAATTTTTGTTGTCTTCCAACGTTGCTACTTCTTTTCAGCAGTCTAGTAGCCTCATCCTCCTGAACCACAGCAGTATCTGCTCTTCTGTTGTCTCCTTAACTGTGCACCCTTTGGAAATGATAACATAATGTTGTCATTTTAAGTCCCATTTTCCATACTTATCACTTCTGCATGTAGGCTTCAACTGCCAAGTTCTTCAGGCTGTGGTTCAACTCGTTTCCTTTCTTGAGTTCACACTGTATCTTGACGTTAAAAGGGCTCAGATTTTTATCTGGATTAGTTTCCTTTAGATGACCTGGAAGGTCAGCTTGGTAAGTTCCATATGTCTGATTGCACAAAAGAAGGTAGGCTGTTTATATGTACTTTATTTCTTTGAGCAATTTTCTTCCATGTGGTTATAAAACTCGCTTCCTTCCTGAAAGCAGACTGTTACAGAAGCTTGCAAGAAGGCACAACCCCTCCACTGAGACACACAAATAATACAGGCTCTGCCCAAACAAAGGGACAAGGAAATCCCATTCTCTGAAATTCAAAGAGTTCTAGAAATATTGCTGTGCACAAGTGAAGAACCCATATGAGATTCAACAAATGATTGATTCAGTCTTTCTAATAAATAACATATCGTTCTAAGTGCTTGGCGCAGATAGGCTATCTGGTTCTTTTCCCTTTTCCTCCTTGGATTTCTCAAAAGACCAAAGAATGGAATTTCTGAAGAGGAAACTGGATTCCCAGCATAGAATATCCATTAAGAGTTGCGTTTAGAAAGGGACCAGGCAATTTTCATAATCCTGCTTGAAAACAGAAGATTTCAAATTCACCCTGTGCCCTGCTGAAGATGACATTGCTAGGATTTAGATTATAAAGATTACTTCTCTGGCTTAATGAAAATAGTTCAAAATAACTTGCAAAAATGAGTCCTTATCAAGATACGTTGCTCATACACTTATGTTTTCCAGAACTGAACCACAGCTGAAGAAACTGGAGAGAGAACGTGCTGAACTAAAAGGAAAAATATCTTCTCTCAGGAATGCAGTTCAGTTAGTCACTGATTTAAAGGATCTTCAACAAAAATATGCTAATGAAAGAAAGGAAAATCAACAAGAAAAAGTAGTTGTAAGTATATCTTGAATGGCTTTCTACTATGCAGTATTTCATTATTAGCTTGTCCCATCCCACAATGAAATCCAAATCCTTGTGTGACTCCTTTCTCACACTCATGTAGCATAATGAATATAAAATGCACAACCACTTATGTGAGAATAGTTATGGCATAATGGATCAATGAGTACTCCTAAGATCCCCTTTCAGACAGAAAAAAACCCAAATACCTGCTTCTAAGACAGCAATTCTTCCTTTGATCTCACAACCTTATTCCCTCTTCCAGCAACAGTCTTATTACATATCATCACCTTAGGCAACATAAATTGCTTCACATTTTTGTTTCAGGGTAATGCACAGGGGCCTTACAAGGTCCAAGTACTACTTTTATCAGCATACACAGCCTGATATTTTAGGCTTCTCAATTCTACTCAACTCTGTCTCTGGTAGTAGTGACCAGGTAATAGGTGCAGTTACATTTAAAAAATCAGATATCTTTTTAGAGTGAAAATGGAGGCCATTTGTGCTGACCTTGACTCCAGCAGCAGCCTAGCTGCTCCAGGGGTGACCATCGCTACCACATCTCCCAGCTGGTTGTTTGACCCTGTAGTAAAGGAGGAAACCCCCACTAGGCCTACTGCCTCCTTGCTTGATCCTTGCCCATCATGGCTGATCAGAACCACAAAGGGGTCTATGATTGATTGGGCCATTAACATTGTTAATTCATCACTTGGGGGGATGTTTCCCTCCCGTTTAAAAGAAACCATTGTCCAACTCATCATCAAATGCCCCCAGTTAGCGTTGGACAATCGTAATTTCTATCTGATCGCTAATACACCATTCTGAGAGAGTGGTGGAAAATCAGGTGCAGACATACCTGAAGGAGCAGGATTGCTTTGGCCCAATCGTCTGGATCCAGGCTATGTTGGGGTACTGAGACGACACTAGTCACACTGCAAGATGACTTTTTAAGGGAGGCTGACGGGTAGATGCACTCTGTGGGTACTCCTAGATCTCTCAGTGGCTTTTGATAACATCAACCATGGTATCCCCCTGGACAAGTTCTCTGAGGGCGGGATTGGGGGCTTAGCATTGAGCTGGCTCCAATGCCTCCCTGAAGACCGTGTCCAGAGAGTTCATCTAGTGAAGGTGTCAGCACTGTGGACCCTAAGGTACGAGGTTTCTCAGAAATCAGCATTATCCCCAATGCTGTTCAACATCTACATTAAGCCGCCATGGGGGGGGGGCGTGATCAGGAGATTTGGAGTAAGGTGTCATCAGTACACTGACATGCAATTCTGTTAACTACTTCTGCAGTGGATACCATCCAGATGCTTGAGCATTGCCTGGTTTCAGTACTGAAATGGACCAGAGCTAACAAGCTCAAACTGAACCCGGACAAAAGAGATTTTGATACTGGGGGAACCTCTGGTAGGTTAGGAGGGATGGTCTCTAAGCTGGATAGTATTCCCCTCCAGTTTAGGGACCAAGTGCATAACCTGGGTGTTCTTCTGGACCCAGCTTTCTTGGTAGTTCCAGACTGCAGCTGTGTCCAGATCAGTTTTTAACCAGCTAATCCCCCCTCAGGTCTTTGGTGCAGGCCCTGGTCATCTCCTGGATCAACTACTGTAATGCTCTCTATGCGAGGCTTCTCTTGAGCCTGATCCAGAGACTTCAGCAGGTCCAGAATGCGGCAACCAGACTGGTGGTAGGTGTGAGCAAATTTGACCACATCACTCTGGTTCTGGCTCGCCTCCACTAGCTGCCCACTGCATCTCAGATCAGGTTCAAGATTTTGAACATACAGTATAAGGCCCTCCACAGTTTGGCCCATGTTACTTGTTGGTGCATCTTTCCTTAATCTCATCGGTGCAACCCAGAAGATCATCTCAGTTGAGTTGCCCCCCGAGGGAGGCCCATAAATCCTCTACAAGAGGTAAGGCCTTCTTTGCAGTGGCTTGAACTTTATGGAACCAGCTGTCAGAGGAGCTCTGTTTAGCCCCCTCCCTGTTGCCATTTAGGAAGCCATTAAAGACATTGCTTTTCTGGGAGGCTGATCACCTTTCCTCTCCCTCTGTCCACTCTGGGTTTATATAATTAGTCTGCGCCATGTATTTTTAGGGTTGTTGTTGCTTTTAATGTGTTTATTTTGGTCTGTATTATACATGCTGCAACCACCCAGAGTAGTGCCTCAGCACTAATGGGAGCAGGATACAAATTGAATAAATAAATAATTGCAATCTCTGGTGTTACTTATGTATGTTATTTTCCTCCTTTAGTAAATTGCAATTACTTATGGTTATTTTTATTAACAGCAATTTTATATCACTTATTTATATTTGTATTATTACCCTCTTCTAGTTCATTACATTTACTTGTTTATCTTTTATTAACAATTATTATACTACAGATCTATGTTCTATCCAAACAACTACATTCTTCTTTTACATATACAGTCTCATCTTCATGACAGTCAAAAGTATGGCACTCAAAGAGCGTTCTTTTTGTTCTTCTAGTGTCTTACTTTGTTTGACCACAGAGCACAACAGAACTTTATTAACCCACACTGGTAGTTTGAGTCTGTGGTGGTCTGTCACAACTAACATTTATCCCTGAAAAGGTTAAATACCATTGTCAATCAGATAATCGTGACAAGTTCATCTGGGTCTAAATGTGTAAGCCATTAATTTGCTTCTGCCAGGTTCACCAGAAATACAACTTCCAAACTTGCTCCATCTCTCTTCAGAGGATGAGAATAAATCGCTATTTTTCACTCATGGTGAAGTAAACAGAAAATTAGTCCACGCAAAATTAGCTTGTCTAACACTGCAAGCTTTATTCATCTATGTTACCCAAGTACTTTATAAAGACACACCAACATTGTTGAAAACAGGTAATTGTAAAAAAAATAATTAAAATCAGTAAATGAAGAAATACATTTTTTTTACCTTTTCGGATATTTGAACTCACAAGTGAAAAATAGTAAGTGCTCATCCAGCCATCTGCCAGTCAAAACCTATAAATCCATTATTTCTATGTGTTGCCTCTACTGCTGTCTCCAGCTTTTATTATCTTTTTCTTCCCCTCAGCAGCTCAGGTTGGCTCTGTTGTGGCTCAGCTAGCTTCGCTGATTCTCTGCTGGTTAGCATCTTGTTTACATTACACTAGCCCTTTTATAGGCATGCATTTTTATATAGTCTCATTTATTTAAACATTTTTTGCCCTAGTTGCAGATTCCAGTATTAGAATGCTAAAGCAAAATCTCATAGACTTTGCTACTCAAGTGAATGTTTGTTAATAAGAGGAAACAATAGCATTCTCTCATGTTTTGTTTTGTTTGCCCTACACTATCAGATTCAATGCATTTTTAGCTTTAGTAGTAAATGCCATGCATTCTATGTGACAGTTTGCTACATTTACAGACCAACAGACTTTTCCATATACTCTGCTACCTAGGGAGATTACATGAGAATGAGTGAGGTTTGTAATTACTCTGCTGTGGCCTCCAGTGAATGTTCAATACATTGTTACTTAAATGGTAAGCTTTTTCCTTCCTCCCCCAACCCCCCACTTTCAAGGTTACATCTCTTTGTCCTGAGGTAACCTTTAACAGGCCATGTTCAAACCTGTTATAATTACATTTCATATTTCTAGGGTTAAAATTCTTACACCCTTATCCATATAATACTTTATACAAAATTCAGGTGAGTGTAGAGAAGTCTTGTTTGGTTTTCATTGTTGTGCAATAGTCCAATTTTGCAATCACACCAAACCATTCCACAAAACGGCCTTCTTTCACAATGTCTGCCAATCTATCCATATACACTCTTCACACGAACCAACACTGATTATAAAGACAGACAAGCTACAATTTATGCATCATCACTGGAATTGTTCAGATGTTGGTGCAGCAAAAAAGGCTTAAGTTGGGCTTAGGCAAAAGCAACTGACATTCTTGATAATATAATTTATGGGCTCTTTTTCAAGCTGCATTGGGCTACTCTGTGAATTGAAAGTTGTTTTGGTATTATCATATTTTTGTAAATAAACTAATGTTCAGTATCAAATAGTGTCCTGTAATACAGCTTTTCTACTTCCTCTTTTATCTAGTATGGTGTTTCCAGCCTTCCTGCACTTCTGGTGGAATCGCGAAGAATTCTAGGAGCAGAAGGTCATTTCCGAAGTATCAATGCAAAATTAGAACAAGCCTTGGATTTGCAAAAAAAGAACTAGACATACTTATTACAAATTATATATTGGACTGCAACATTTTTATTATATTAAAACATGTAATAACAGTGGGCATTGAAGCAAGAAGCCTTGAGTGTCAATCTTCTTCTTTTTTGACAGATTTAACTCTACTACTGGTATAGTATCCATAATTTTAGTCTTTGCTAACTGGTATAAAATCTCCGTAATTTTCCTTTCATTGGGAAGTGACCTCAGTGGTTTGGCCAACCACAGTACCTTCATTGATTGATCTTCCTTTAGAAATAGAACATGGAAGGACAAAGAAGAAAAACCTTCTAAGTAGGAATGTTCTTACAAGACTATGTATATATTATCTTTTGCTACAGTCAAGAAATGAAGGAAAATAATTGATAGCAGTATCAGTGAGCACTTCATATAAGAAAACTGTTCCAGTGAAAGCCCTTAATTAATTTTAAATAAACAAAGGTTCTTGGTATAAGAACCAGTATTGGCTACTACAGGGTACTGTTTTATGTTGTCTTGCCATCTAATTTGCTTGACATGCACTCTATTAAGGTGCTTTCAAAAGCTTTTACATGTCACTGCTATTGCATATCTGTTACACTTAACAAAACCTTTATTTCTGTCCTAATGACTTCTGAAGGAATGCTTCTAAAAGTTGGGTATTCTTTGTATTCACTAGTCATAATAAATGTTTAATATTTCTACAAAACAGCTAACACTATAGCAAATTATCAGTATAAATGTATAATCATTTGACTAGCTTGTCTGATTGCTGCTAACTGAATCTCTGCTAGAAAGAACCCTTTATTCAGCCACATTGAATTTACCAGTTGGACTTACTCTATGATTTCATTATTTTTCAAAGCATCTACTAGAAGGTCATCAGGTATTTCATTCAAAATCCAGTTTTTCTGTGGCTGAAAAGTATCAGCAGCTTCAGCTAGTTCCACATCCTCAGAAGCTTCTAAAAAATAGGTGTCATTCTCATCATCCCATTCAATACTTGAAGTTCTTTTGAAGTTTGGCTCTCTGTTTTCTTGTTCCGAAGTTAAAGATTTGCTGTCTGACAGGCTTGCAGTATGAGGATACATTTTTGGTCTTTCTTCAATGTTTCCACTTCCATCTATTATATATACGTAGTCTTCGTTCTTTAAAACAATTTTTTTCAAAATTAACACACAATCTTGAGTTACATTTCTTTAGAGTTTCTATATAATAAGTGGCTCTCCCAAGGCATTTTTGCAGGGACCCTAAGCCATATAATTCAGAATCTAAGAGATATTTCTTTCCCATCCTGGAAGCCTTGTGGCAGCTTTTTATCTCATGATCTGGGAGTTCTCAAGTCACATAAAATTAAAAAAATCTACACCAGAAGTGTATGGCTGTTACTGTGGAATAAGGGTGGAGGACCAGCCTGCTAACACATGCACTGTAGATAGTTTTGGCAGTACAATGCCCTTTGTGTTGAAATGGTTCTTAGTGGTATCTCTGGTTTTATTTAACATAGACCTGCAAACAAACCAGGTTTTTCTAGTACTCTTGATCCTTTTTCATCTGTACTTACTAAACTAGTATATGCTAAAGAGTAGACCTTAACTAAGCTGTAAAAGCATTAACAGTATTAAGTGAGAAAAACATACCTCTTTGAAAAGAAATGGGAGACATACTTCGGCTGGCAATGGAGAACCTATGTCACATATATTGAATTTATATTAGTTACAGTATATTTAAAATTAATATTTGTAATATAGGTTATATAAAGGTACTTACATTCTGATTTGAAATTATCTGCTCTACAAACAGGGTCGTGGCATTTCTGGTACCAGTACTCATGTTTCAGGTCTACTACAATCCTTCAAATACAGATACAAGTGTTAGATTAATTTTATGTAAGCAGTAATCAGAAATTGTTTTAATTGCTACATGTTTTAGACATGTTCGAAATAATTAACATGATAAAGAAAAGTCACAGGTTATTAAAATATCTTTGACATTTTCGTTTATCTATTTATCTATATGTTAAGTGTAAAATGAGGATCCTCAGTTTTCTCAAGCAAGAGGTACCTAAAAAGAGGGCTCTGATTTTACACACACTGAGTAGTCACATGTGTGCAAAGATAGTAATGTAATCAACTGCACAGTCAACACAAATGCTATTTCTAATAACCCAGCAATTGCTTAGCTCTTAATGTAGGAATATCTCAATAGTATTACTTGCCTGACAAGCATGAATTAGGCATAGGACTTTCAGCAAATACTGAAGGTCAAATTTAATTTCTTTGAAATCAGGAATTTTGTCCTCATCCCCATCCTATCACCTAAGATGAGGTTACACAAAAGGAAGACCTGTTCATATGTAAGACAAGTTGAACTCAGATTGAGTTATTTTTGCATAAACAATTATAGCACTTTACTACACTAGTGCATAGACTTAAGTATACAAAACTGAAAAAGCCAACACAGAATTTTAATACTTGTGTGGGTTTAGAATTTTTAAACACAGTGGTGCCTTGACTTACAAACTTAATTGGTTCTGGAACTCTGGTCGTAACTCGAAATGGTTGTAAGTGCAGCACCATTTCCCATAGGAATGCACTGAAATGCAATTAATCTACCAGCAGAAGAAAAAAAAATCACCAGAACAAAAAACACTGCAAGACCCATTGGAAATGTGATCAATCCATTCTGGCTGAAGGGGGAAAAAATAAAAGCAAACAAACTGCAAGACCCTTCGGAAATGGAAAAAAAAGCTAAGCAAAAAGCAAACAAACTGCAAGACCCTTTGAAAATGCAAAAAAAGCAAAACGCAAAAAAACGTGCAAGACCCATCGGAAACGCGATTTATCGGAAATGCAAAAAGGGCAAAGCAAAATGCAAACAAACCGTGCAAGAGCCTTCAGAAATGGAGGGGATCAAAAAGCAAACAAACCCTGCAAAACACATTATAAATGGGGGGGGGACCAAAAGGCAAACAAACCCTGCAAGACCCATCAAAAAACAAGGAAAAAGCCAAAGAACAAAGACTGCAAGAGCCATCACAGCACAGAAACCTACCCCCAGCCCAAAACCACGCTGCAAAACCCACCCAGAACAGTTTTTAAAAAGCAGAAAGCAGCACCTTAACTTACCAGGCAGTACGAAGCCTCCTCCAATCACACACTCTAACTGCTGGGGCAAAAGAGCTACAAAGAAGCAGTCTCTTCACCACCAATAGTTAGCTATTGGAATTCCCCACCTTTTTCCCCCTACCTATTTCTGTTCATAAGTCGAAGCTCTGGACACAAGTAGAAGCAAAATTTTGTGGCCAGAGCTGGTTGTAACTCGAAGTGGTCATTGTGAAGATTGCCCCACATCACTCCTGTCACTCATATTCAGGATCTCATTTGCATGAGCCTATGAGAGGAGTGGAGGGGCAGAGTCAGCGGATATAAGAAGGTTTGGCAGAAGAGATGAAAAGGAGAGATATAGAACTCGCAGAGAGAGAGACAAGGAGATTGTGAGAACAGATCCTAATAGAGATGAGCTGGTCAAGATAAATAGAGCAGGTGGTGATTAGTTATGTGGCAAGATATATGACATTTTAATTATTTTATTGTATGCATTGAATACAGAACATCTGTGATTCTGATTAATACAGTAAAAGAGGGAACGTCACAATTGGTATCTGCTGGTGGGATGACACAGCATGAGCCCTTTGTTTGGGGAAACAAGCAGGGGCCACGTGGTAAACATCACAGTCATATCTCAGGATGTTTGTAAGTTGAAGCACCACCGTAAATGTATTGCATTACATTTGCAGTTAATGTGTCTTGTCAAATCTATATCAGTCACAATGTCCTACTTCATTTGCCAATGTACACCAAATCTTATCTATTAAGAAGCATAATTCTAATGTTAAGGAACTCCATATATTTTTTAAAAATCATTCTTCCAAAATGGTACTTTTGCTGACATCCATATCCTATTGAATATATGAGTTTACAAGAGCTGATCAGGGCAGCCGAGGACAGGACATTTTGAAGGTCACTCATTCATAGCAATGCCATAAGTCAGACTTGACAGCAGATAACCACCACAACATTGAATACAAAGAATGTAAAGGTAATATGAAAAGATACGTACATGATGTTATTACTTTTGTGCGCTCTGCCAATATTCCTACACCAACGATAGTTGGAGATGTCATATACAAGAAGCTGTTCAAGAGTAAAATAACTCCATCGTCTTATCCCTGAGGGAGGGAAATGGACACAGTTTTCCACACAACTATATTACTGTTAGAAAATATTTTCCAATTGAGGACAAAAATTCCTTACCTCCTTGAACATTATCTTTATTAACTAAAGAGAGGACAAAGGTATCAATTTCTGGATAAGGTGAACAGCGGTATCCTCCTATGGGGTCCATAAAAGAGAGATACAAAACATTAGTAAGCTATTCTTTAATGGCAGATGTAGGATGAGAAATAATATACACTGTTTGGGACCCAATTAGGGTCTCACTGTCCTGATAGAAAGCATATCTTACAGCAACATTGTAGCCTGTCTGAGCTCCTGCTGTATCATGATTAACAGGTATATCAACACAGTTCACAATCACTGTAAATTGGTCTATGTTTCTTCCAAGAACCTTTCACTAAACCTTCCTATCTGAAAAAGTTTAATTTTTCATATCCTCTTCAGCAACTATAGAAATTCAAACACCAGTACTGTTCAGAAGTAACATTCTGCGTGCAACAGGATTTCAAAAATTACTTGCCAGAAGCTTCTAAAATATTAAATTGACAATATATATTAACAGCACATAATAAAGAAGTTAGATGCAAGAACTCATCCAGTACACAGAGATAAACATTTCACAATTCAGATATGCTCCAACTTTTAGTGAAATGCTAAAGTTAAACACAAAGCCATGAAATGCATTTTGCCACAGAATAATTTCTGTAGCTAAAATTTCTATTTAGTTGAATTACCCAGACAGCTATTAGGATTGTTGCCATCTATACAAACAGATGTTTCTCTTGCCTCCTCTGGGTTGTCACATGTCAAAATTTTTAAACAGTCTGAAAATCTAATAAAAAAAGAAAGAAAAGAAGCAGTGAGTTGAAAAAACAACTCAAATTTGCAGGACATAAACATCCTTCCCCCGTATACGCTATTCTCTGTTGATGCTCTGTTATCTTTCACATAGCAATACTAACCTATTAATTTCACCCGCATAAAATCATCTTGATGTTTTGAAAAGCAAGCACAGAAATCACCCATAAAAGAACAGCGAACATGTATTGGACACATATTTCTCTTTATCCCTTGCTGAGGCATGAATCAAAGGGTGTTTGACGCATGTTTTGAGCATACATGTTTAGGCCACTGATTAGCTCCTCTGTGAATCAGAAATGTTTTTATATGATCCAGCATTCTTGTTATGTTTTTGCATGCAAAATAAATGGTGGAGAAAGGGGTTGAGAGACAGGGCAAGATATTTTGCTTAGCATCTTTTCTTTTCCTATGTTGTGTGAAGAACTGCTCCTTTAAAGTATCAACTCCCTTATTTTCTTTCTACACAGGGAAAAATGTGAAGGTGGCAGCTATGGTCTGCCCTTTTTCTAGAACTACCAATCTTAAGACACTGAGTAGCTATTCCACCTTTAACACTTTTTTGCAGCAAGGACAAAAAGATGAAAAGTGTAGTAAAAAACTCCATGTCACCTCATCTGTGGCCCCTGTACAATCCTTTGAATAAGGCATGGGCACACTGGTACTATAACAATCTAATTTGAAGGTATCCCAGCTCCAGAACATGAGGCATGGGAAAAGTCCACAATCTGCATGATTCAGCTAGATAAATTCACCAGAGATTCTTCAAGTTTCCTGGTAGAGAAGTAGTGAGTGGCATATACAGTGGTGCCCCGCATAGCGAGGTTAATCCGTTCCGGATTAACCTTCGCTATGTGGAATCGTTGCTAAACGGGTAGGGAAAATGAATTGAAACGCATTAAACTTAGTTTAATGCGTTCCAATACCTTTCTTACTGACCCGTTCAGTGAGGATTCCAATTGCCGGCAGCCATTTTCGCGCCCTCGCTAAGCGAGGCCAGGGCGTGAAAACAGCTGCCGGCAGCCATTTCCGGGCTTCCGGTGGCCATTTTGGAGCCGCCGAACAGCTGTTCAGCGGCTCCCAAATAGCGATCCCGAAAAAGGGATTGCTATACGGAAACATCGCTATACGGTGCACTCGTTAAGCGAGGCACCACTGTACACAGGCACTAATCTTTAAAAAAAGTTTAAAAGCAGGTTAACATTCTATTGCAGTAAAGTTACTGTTTACCTTACATTACAGATCAAGGAGGAAAAAAAATACTGTTCTTCTAAGGAAGAATTCTTTACAGGTTCAGGAACAAACTTGTTATCTTCAGCAATATCCAAAATGACAAACTTTCCTGCTTTTGATGACTTGTATAACCGGAAATTTCTATTCTTAGTATAAACTCCTACATAAAAGGGAAAGTTATTTATTTAGTTTTTGGAGTTAACAACTATTTGTCAATCTAACTTATATGAGTTTCAGACCCTGTTTTCTGCTTCAAAATGTATGCTTCAAAATCCTCTTCAAGTGTAGCCCTCAATCATGCAGCAGAATTTTGGAGTTTAAAAAAGTGAAAGTATATCGGAGATGAAGACAATTTTATCTTCAGTAAGATTTCAGAATTTATGTTTTTCCACTGAATTCTGAGCATCTCAAATTAATTCTTTAAATTTAACTTTGAGGAAGAGTAACTAGAGAAAATGTATGATAAACAATACATTTAAATATCAAATTAACAAAATTAATAATTTTATTCCTTTATTACAAAACCCCTATATCTTACAGAACTGGTAAACTGCAACACCAGAAAAAGGGAGAACATACATAATGAGTTTGGAAACATAATGAGCCTAGGGAAAAAACTTAATTCGAAGAAGTTTGTAATTGTTTTTAAATCACTCCAGTTCTCTATCTAATATTCTTGTTCCATGTATACAAACTACAAAAATAGATGAAAAACACTTTCCTTAGCACAGAAATGGCTGCCGGCAGCCGTTTTCACGCTGTGCCCTCGCTTAGCGAGGGCGCGAAAATGGCTGCCGGCAATTGGAATCCTCGCTGAACGGGTAAGTAAGAAAGTATTTTAATTAATACCACTGACCTTTCCATGGGATCTAAAATTGCTGTTGATAGTCATAGAAAAGTTTTGAATCTACAGCTTCACTGTATAAATTTACATATAATAACAAGGAATAAATGCAAAGGAGGAAAAGTAATCCAGATTGATCTTTATCACATTTTCCATTCCAACTGTAGATATTTTCTGTATCAGTTTCTCCACTCCCTTCACTATCTTCCTACGTACAGAAGTAGCATCTGCACAGTATCATGAGCTGGGGAGACACTTTTTAGGTTCTCAGTTTTTAACACTTGCATTAAAGTCCTGTTGCGCATCTTCACCTGTACAATGGAAATGTCATCGTCAGCAAATCACTGCTGATTAAAGGCTTTCTCTGATATTTTCTGGGTGCATGTGATTTTTTTGTATAAGTCAGGTGCACCCCAAAATTGCCAAAAGAAGCCTTTAATCAGCAGCTGTTTGTTGCTGATGATAATAATAACATTCTCATGCAGGTGGAGCTATGCAATAGGATTTCAGCCTTAGTATTATTTTATAGTCAACCATCGACTTACGAATTTAATCCGTTCCAGAAGGACGTTCATAAGTTGAAAAGTTCGTAACTTGGGTCAGCATTTCCCATAGGAATGCATTGGAAACCAATTGATGCCTCCACAGTCTCTGCGCCCCGAGGACCGTGATTCAGATAGATCCACGTGGAAGGACAACGCTCAGCGCCCAAGAAGTCACCAGCCACTCGTGCAAATCCATCACGCACGTGATCAGTTTAATTAAAGCTGCCCTCCTCATCTCTCGTTGTCTGCCCCCCCACTGTCTCTCTGTAAAATCAGCAGGAATCAAAAGGAGGAGGGGAGGAAAAGAAAAAAATCAAAAGAAAGAAGAAAGGATGTGGTGTTTGTTCGGGAGACAAGCACCCTCTTCGCTGGCCAACAGTTCAAATTTCGCCGCCTCCCACATGTTTTTTCTGTTTGTAACTCGAAGCAAAGTGCGCAAGTTGAGGCAATATTTTCCTATCAGAACGGTTCGTAAGTTGGAATGTTCATAACTTGGGTCGTTCGTAGGTCGAGGGTTGACTGTATATAGAAGAACCATTATCAAGACTCAGAAATAATTAACTCACTGAATAATTCTGAAGATTACTTTAGGACTTGGGTGAGAAACCAATAGGTAGGAAGCTCCTTGAAACACACAGTCTTATCTACAATCTCGCTAAGGACATACATACCATCTTTAGAGTCACAATGGACTTTTAGATGTCCTTGCCAGCCCTTCTGCTACAAAAACTTCTTAGTTTCCACATATATTTTGAAAATGACTTGCAAAGAGCTTCACATGAAATGTATGTTTATATTTACCAAGATCCACAAACAGTTGCTTTCCTCCCTGTTTGCCATTCACTACTAAAAAAGAAAGATCTGGATTTTCTTTCAACTGTGATGCTCCTTTTTCCAACATTCTTTGTGAATCCAGTTGCCAACTTTGAGGTGCATCCTTGGATACAATTTGGTGTACAAGACACTTGGTAGCTTCGTAACATTGAGGAGGAGAAACAGGCTGTTTTTCTGGAACCACAGTATCTCTATTCTTCGTTAAAAGAACAGCAGGTTGCAAAATTGTTTTTAAAAAGTTACCTTCAGGGAGAAATTGAACTGATTAACTGATTGATTGAAAAGCTGACATCATTGAAAAAGAAACTAACTTTCTCTAGAAATGCAATAAAGAATTAGGTACTGCACTTATGGTGGGAATGTGAAGTAATACAAAGGGTTTGGAGGCACTTTTTTAACAAATTAGAGAAATATTGGAAGTCAACATTGAAGCATCATCAAGAACAGCATTATTATTAACACATAATCACAACATAAATAACCCAAAGAAAGATGGTTATAAATATAACAGCTGCTCAATTATTTATTTATTTAACTTATATGCCACCCACACTACCCAAAGGTCTCTGGGCAGCTTATAGCAAGAAATTGGAAGCAGAACTGGATTTTTCAACCACATGAAAGGTATAATGAAATCTGGAATACTGAGATTAACAATAAACTGACTTTTGAAATTACGTTTAGAAAAAGAAGGCTAAAGATTAATAAATTTAATATGAGGTGACTTTATTAATACTGTTTTGCATAAAGTAAGAGGGCAAAACCCAGGTCAAGAATATATGTATTCCTGGAAGGGACAGGGGATCTTTTAAAAGATGTAGGAAACATTGTTGTAAAATATATCTATGTATTGTATTAATGGATAGTCCCTGTGGTGGTGGGTACAGTATATTTTTTATGCAAACAAATTAAATTTAATTAAAAATAATATGATTTTATAAAGACAGAAAAAGAAACTAACTTTCTGTTGTAAACATTTGAAATCTAAAAATCAGGCAACTGCCTGCCTAATGAGAAACACTAAATCTAACAATTTAGAATAAATTAAAACAGAATGCATGTGTGTACAGTCAAATTTCTTTAACTACCCTATTTTATTAAAAACATGCCCACAGTAGTAGTAATAGTAGTAGTATTTATTTTGCGGTCACAGACCCAATAAGCACATAATAGCTTTTCATACCCCCATGTGATAACAACACAACTAATCAAAAGTACAGAATGTATCCTGAGAAACAATCCTGTATGCTGTAGGAAACCAGCCAACAGCCTCTAACAAACCAAAACAGCTTCATGGAGCAAGGTAAATACAGTACAGTGGTGCCTCGACTTACGAACTTAATCTGTCCCATAAGATGTTTGTAAGTCGAAATGTTCATAAGTCGAATCAGCATTTCCCATTGAAATGCACTGAAGCCCAATTTATCCATTCCGGCTGTTTTTTTGTTTGTATGTAGAGGCACCGGTTGTAAGTCAGCGCCGGTTGTAATGCAAAATCGGTTAATCCATCCTCTACCACTAGGTGGAGATATTTTTTAACCTAAAATGACTTAGATTAAAAAAAGATCAGGAAAGGAGGGAGGGAGGGAACAATGGGGAAAAGAGGAAAGAAAGAAGGTTATCACTGGGGCATACAGACCCCTCAGACAAAGGTTTGTGCTTTTAAGCACAAAAACAGAAGACAGAGAGAGGAGACAATGGAGTGGGGAGAGAGTATGGAGTCTAAAACACATTTTAAACCCACACATGCTAAACCCACACCTTTTAAACCAAACACCTTTTAAACCAAACACCTTTTAAACCAAACCAAGCACCTGGGGAGCAGAGAGAGAGAGAGAAGCCGGGGGGGGAGAGACTTGAGTCGAAACTCCATTTTAGAGCACAACAGCCACCACAGACCCTTGCAAAAAAATTTCTGATTTTAAAAACAAAAGACTACAATCCATTTTAAAGCACACCAGCCGGCACAGACCCTTGCAGAAAGGGTCTGCAAAACCCATCAGAGCACAGAAACATAACCCTACAACCTAGTCCAAACCTAAGTGGCAAAACACATGTACAATAAATACAGTTTACTCACCCAGAACAGGCAGTCTCTCTGTTTTAAAAAAGAAAGTCAAAAATCCTAAAATCCAAAATGAAAAAAAGCCAAAAAAAACCCCAGTACGTGCAGTACAGTACCAGGCAGTCTGAGGTCTCTCTCCGTATCCACACTCCCTAACCACTGGGGCGAGTTAGGTGGCAGGCAAGCAGCCTCTTTGCTGGCCAACGGTTAACTGAAAGTTTAAATTTCCCGCTTTCCCCGCATTTTTTCCTTTTCGTAAGTTGAAGCTCCGTTCACAAGTCGAAGCAAAATTTTGCAACCAGAGCTGTTCCTAAGTCAAAATGTTCGTAGGTAGGGGCATTCATAAGTCAAGGCACCACTGTACAGAATGCCACTGCAGTCCTATATATGTCTCCTCAGAAATGAATTCAGTGGAACTTCCTCAGAGGTAAGCAGGCTAAGAGCAACAACTCAAGCTGTGCAAACTCCAAGTACTGAATTTATGTGTTATTATTATTTACATATTGACCACTTTTCCTCCGTGTAACAGAGGGTGTTGGACATGGTTCTCCCCATCACAACTCCATGAAGTGCTTAATCTGAGATCTTCTTATCAACTTCACAGGTGTGTGGAGATTTGAACCCACCAAACCTTAGTCTAATAAATACTCTAACCACTTACATCAGTTGTTATGCCATTGGGATGCCCTAAAGCCATTTCTTCCTGTAACATCCCATTCACTCCATTATCATATGTATTATTTCAGTCCAATTCATATTCCCAAATTATACAGTAGCTGTGATCACAGGAATGATTGTCAACTCATTGTGCATACAACCACACTTATCTCCCTATGCACCATTACACTGAGGAGTTTATGGAGGAATTTAGCAGTGTGATCTGACTCTTAGAAGTTCAACTGAATTCTTCTGGTTCTACTCCTTCCAATGGATGAACGTCCATTTTTTCAAAACTTAATTGTCAGTGATAAAAAAACATGATTAGATTCCCATTTTTTCAAAACTTGTCAGTGATAAAAAAACATGATTAGATTCTGAAATATCTGAATTATTATATAATCTGTGAATCATAATTTGCAGGGATTGGAAAAAAAGTTTATCCTTACCTATATGGATATTATTCTTAAATGCAGCATTGCAGAGCTGAAATATTAAATGGCAACTAAATTTTTCTTCTGTGCTAGAATCCAAATTCAAAACATCTTCAGCTGAACATTTGATTCCATAATGTTCATCTAATTTTTTACACACAAACTGCAAAGACACAATATTATTTGTTCTTTATCTATATTTATACATGAAGAGATTATAGCCATAAAAACAAAAATATGTATAAAGATAAGAAAAACTAAAGAGCCAAATAAACAATCTCCTAGACATTATAGGCGGGGCATCCTGTTGCTTAAAAGTGGAGCTGAAGGAAAATTACATCTGGAAGGCTCCCAATTGCATGACCAATCATGCAACCAGTGTGAGACTCGACAACATGGAGCCCTCCAGATTGGGAAGAAAAGCTTACACACTTTTCTTCCTGTTCTGCATTTAAGTAGGTGATTACACACATACTTGGCAATCTATGCCTATTATACCATGTTTCCCCGAAAATAAGATTATGCCTATTATACCATGTTTCCCCAAAAATAAGGCAGGGTCTTATATTAATTTTTGCTCCAAAAAACGCATTAGGGCTTATTTTCAGGGGATGTTTTATATTTTTTTCATGTATAACAATCCACATTTATTCAAATACAGTCATGTAATCTTCTTCTGGTTGCTGCACAATGGTGGAGGGCGGGGTTTCACTTAACCGGGGCTTATTTCTGAGTTAGGGCTTATATTGCGAGCATCTTGAAAAATCATACTAGGGCTTATTTTTAGGTTAGGTCTTATTTTCAGGGAAACAGGGTAGTTTAAACACTAACCCTGATATTTAACCTAAATGTATTTTCTTGATTTTTTAAAAAAAATTACCTCTATTAAGTCTGCTACCATCTGTTTTCCATTTGCTCCTTCATTTGTTGGTATGTAGAACTCCAAATCAAAGTAAAGTTTGCAAACAGCAGTTTCTGGAATAACTTCATAGCAATGCATAAGACTTGTTTCATGATGTGTCCTAGATTAAAAAAGAATCTCACTTATATTATTACAATTGCTGTGTTTTTCAATTTCTGCTTAGCAAAATTCAATAAAGGCCAAATATCTGCTGCAACACCACAGCACAGTAAGTTACCAGAACAGGCAAGTACAGTTGTGCTAGTGTTGCAGCAAGATTTTATCACATGATGCAGCAAGTGCTACATCATTTAAAAAAGAGTTTGGAGTATGGAGCCAAACTTCAGAAGAGTACAGAGACCTACATTTTTAATGATCCCTCCAACTTTTTAGAATCTTCCTAATTCAAGATGGAGTTTGTTGATCTGGACAGGAGCTTTTAAAGATTAATAAGGATTGAATGGAAATACGATTTATCCAGTGGCTGTATTCCCTTTTTTGTACCAGAATGCAGAAAGGATTATAAAAGTAGCAATGACCCTACACAGAAAGAACCTGGTAAACATACATATCTAATCTGTAGAATTCTGATTCTGTAGAATTCAATTATACATTTATTATCCTAGTCTTAAGATTCCAGCAATAATAATCACATTGGCTGATGAATTAAAACTTCAAGGATTAACTATATCTGAAAATATTTCCTGGAAAATTCAAAAACACAAAGAGATGGAAGAGGTGCATTTCAATCACATTCTATAATGGGTTTTTCATAAATGAAGTAATGTTATTTCAACATGAAAAGAAAGGTTACAGTATGCTAAATTTCTGGTTTAAAAAAAGATGAATTATAAGGGACAATATTATACACAAAACTAGACAGAACAACTGAATGTTTTTATTGTACTGGCTGCAGTCATGCCCTACTCATATCTACTTCAGATCAACTGCTGGATGAAATTACACTGGGTATAGCATAAAGTTATGCCTGCATAAATTCATGGGGAGTTATGCTCAGGAAGTTACATCTGTGCAACAAACCATGTAACAATTCACACACTGACCACACAACTGACTATGCAGCTGTTTGCAGAACTGCTTCCTAGATAAGATTTAGTTATTTAATTTATATCCTGTCCATCTAGACCAAAGTCTAATCTGAGCGGCTAACAACACTCAAGAATAATAAAATAAAACAACATTAATCCAACTGAAGATAGCAAATAAATATTGACAGGAGAGAAGGCCTGCCTAAAGAGCCAGATCTTGAGTTGGCTCTTAAAAACATCCAGTGAGGGAGCAAGACAAACTTCTGGGGGCAAATTGTTCCACAGGCGAGGGGCTACTAATGAGAAGGCCAGCTTTCTTGTTCTTTCTCTCTTCTGGGGGCAAACTGTTCCAGAGGTGAGGGACTACTACTGAGAAGGCCAGCTTTCTTGTTCTTTCTCTTCAGGCCTCCTTCGGCATTAGGCTCCTCAGTTACCCATCTTGACTAAAGCGAGTGATTTGGCGTGTTCCACCAGATATTGAGGTCCTAAACATCTTGACTAAAGCGAGTGATTTGAGTAGATCTAGGTGGGAGGGCGCGTTCCACCAGATATTGAGGTCCTAAACCATTTAGGGCTTTATATGTCATCATTCATACTTTGAAATCAATGAGGAAACGAATGGGCAGCCATTGCAAGGCAGCCAGAGTAGGGGAGATATGTTGATGTTTTCTCACCCCAGTAAGAAGTCTGGCTGCCGCGTTCTGCACCATTTAAAGCTTCTGCATCAACGTCAAAGGTAACCCCATGTAGACGCACAACAGTAGTCTAATCTCGACACTACAAGCGCATGGACCAGAGTGGTGAGGGCCCCCACATGAAGACAGGAACGCCACTGGGCAATCCGCCGAAGATGAAAATAGGCAGTGCAGACCACTGACGCTACCTGGATTTCCATGGTAAGTACCAGATCCAGGTGGACCCCCAAGCTGCAAACCTCACTCTTTGTGGTGAGAGTCAACCCCCCCCCAAAGGAAAGGGAGTTTCTCAAACCACCAATGTCAGGCCACCCAGCCTTAAAACTTCTGTCTTCTCCAGGTTCCGCCTCAAACCATTCATCTGCATCCATTTCAATAAAGCCTCCAGACAGCACTGAAGGGACGAAATGGCATCCACTGTTGTTAGAGAAAAGGCGATGTAAAGTTGGTGTCATCAACATACTGATGACACAATGCCCAATGTAGAGTTGGTGTCATCAGCATACTGATGACACAATGCCCCACACCCCCTGATGACCTGACCCAGCGGCCTCATGTAGATTTTAAACAGCATTGGGGAGATAACCAAGCCACGCAGAATCCCACAATTAAGATTCCATGGATTCTCCCCAAGCTGTACTCTCTGGGGATGGTCCTCCAAGAAGGATCAGAGCAAGGACCAGACCACCAATTCCCAAGAGGATACCGTGCTCGACGGTGTCGAAGGTGGCTGAGATATCGAGAAGGACCAACAGAAACATTTCACCCCTGTCAATCTCCCTCAGCAGGTCATCAAACAGGGTGACCAACGCCATTTCCGTACCGTGGCATGGCTTGAAGCCCGACTGAAATTGATCCAGGGTGTTGATTTCATCTAAAAGGGCCTGGAGCTGGTCAGCCACCACCCTCTCTACCACTTTGCTCATGAAAGAAACATTGGCGATGGGCCTATAATTGCCAATGTCATCCGCCGCCAAACTTGGTTTCTTCCTAATGGGCCTAATCATTGCAGTGGCCCATTCGGTTGTTATATGCCTGGCTGCTTTGATTAGCCAGGCCGGGCAAGGATCAAGGAAGGAGGTGGTGGCATGACCTGGGTCAGGCGCTTTTCCCACCATATCTGGCGTCATAGGCTGAAAGGGATTGAGTCTCGTTGGGCAAGGCGGAGTGCTGGACGTCTCTGCTCTATCTACTGTATTCAAAAAAGGAGAGAGCTCCTGGTGGATGGCCTCCACTTTAGATTTTTAAAATGCTGCAAATTAAAGGGTTCCCCTTGACATTTTTAGTCCAGTCGTATCCGACTCTAGGGGGTGGTGCTCATCCCGTTTTCAAGCCATAGTGCCAGCGCTTGTCCGAAGACAGTTTCCGTTGTCACGTGGTGCTGCAAATTGGTCAGGTGAAATACTAGTAGGAGGCCTATCACTTAGACCAATTCCGGATAGATTGCAGACTATACGGAAATTTTCCGCCTGCTGATTTGAAACTTCTCTTATCTGGACAGAGAAGTAAGCTCGACTGGCAGCCCTCACCCTGGTAAGGTAAAGATTAGTTGCGATGCTGACAGCTTTTCAATTATAATCCATCGGGTTTAGCCTTTTTCTACTTTGCTTCATAGCTCACAGCTACTGGTTAAACCATGGTGCTGAATGAGCTCTGCAACGGAGAGGGTGTTTAGGAGCAATTTAGTTGTCAACAACTCTGGTAGCGGCAGCAAGCCAGCCATCAACCAGAGCCTCTGGTTTAGATTTCTTCCTTGGTACAAATTTTGTATCAGCTTGCACAGCTTTGTTACACAAACATAGTCACACAACAGGATTTCAGCCACTAGATTCCAAATAAGCATGCATCAAGTATTCTGAGTACAGTCCTTCATCCTTGTTTTTACTTTTCAGATACTTACCTGTAATAAAACCAAAGCTCTGTGTAGGTTGTCACAAGATAAAATCTTTGTTTGTTTTCAGTGCTCCTTTCCAAAGCAAATACATGAACGTCCTTTTAAAATAATTTTTAAATGTAATTAGTCTTGTGTCAATCAATAAATATAAGTACCCAAATCTAGTTATGGACTTCAGTTCCACTGCCTTATGCTTTGTCTCCAATGTTTTCCTGCATCCTCAAGAAATAATATATACAAGAAGGCCAGTGTGACAAAAGGATGATTAAGATAATTATTCTTTGTGTGCAAAATAATGAGTTAGACCAGGAACATGTTCCATAGTGGTAAACTTCCATGAGAAGGATACTGAACTCAATTTTCCAAGACATATGGGAACAAACTATATATGATCTTCTGTTTTTCTAGCTTATTCTTATGTTCACAAAAGTGAGCTTATTACAAGAGTTTTATGGAGCAACATGAATTTAGAATGAACCGCATAATTGCTCTCACCGAATGATAGTGAGAACTACTTCACAATTATCGTAGTATATGGACAGGCACGTAAGATCATTTAAAGTGCTGAAATACCTCGTATTTCTATCATGTCAGAAGCAACACAGTACAATTAATAAAAACATTAAATAACTTTCACCCAGTGTAACAAGCAACACCAAGACCACTTGCGACAGCTAGCATCAAATCATCCACAGCACACACTGAAGGACGGAGAGTACACTGACTGACACAGGGGTGAAGCTGCCCGTTCTTTAAATTTGCAAAGGGCTGTTTTGGAGCACAAAACTCATTTTCTCAGATTCACCTTGGTTATGCCAACTCCATTCCAAAGCCTAAAGATCACCAAGTAACCCAGTTCTCCCTATGACCAAGGGCTAGATTTCCCTGAGGTTCCATTCATTCTAGGAGGCAAATAGTTCTCTCTTTCCACATTACAGTCCCAGCATTTTCTTCTGTTCCTTCAGGATTCAAAGCATTCTAGGAGGCAAATCGTTCTCTCTTTCCACATTACAGTCCCATTTTCTTCTGTTCCTTCAGGATTCAAAGATGTTCTGAACTTTTCCTTCATTTTAATGAGAGGGGCCAGATTCACAAAGAGTGAATATACATTGCATGTAAAAGCTTTTGTTATTTCACTATTCGATGCTATATCTGTAGGGACTGGGTACAATGTCTAGCTAGATAACGGATTTATCAATAGGCATCTGGTAATGCTTCTACAGCTTCCATTCAGTGCCACGTCTGTGGTGCACTCTACATAAGACTGCCTTTCAAAAGTGTTCGGAAACTGAGAGGCGGGGCTTTGTTGCGGTGCTGAATGCTGCAGCCAGATTGCTACCAGAGCTGGTTACAGGCATCACATAACTCTGTTGTCACAATAGATCCACTGGCTGCCAATCCATTAATGAGCACAATTCAAAGTGCTGGTTTTGATTTATAATTGGGTCCAAACTATCTGAAAAACTACATCTCCCTTTATAATTTGCCCAGGTTTCAAAATCATCAGGGGAGGCCCCTGGATTCTGGCCAGATTGCTACCAGAGCTGGTTACAGGCATCACATAACTCTGTTGTCACAATAGATCCACTGGCTGCCAATCCATTAATGAGCACAATTCAAAGTGCTGGTTTTGATTTATAATTGGGTCCAAACTATCTGAAAAACTACATCTCCCTTTATAATTTGCCCAGGTTTCAAAATCATCAGGGGAGGCCCCTGGATTCTGGAATTTGTAGTGAAATAAGTAATTCTGGAAGTTCTGTGTGAACCAACACTGTGATTCAACACTGTTTTTTCCATCTCAACCAGGAAGTACACAAGAAAAGCTAGAAAACAAACAATTGGTGCTGTTTACCTCCAGTAAAGGTGCATGGGTTTTGAACACACAGATTTCGTTTAATCACTTGTGCTTAGGGTCAATTTTGAGCTGAATTTGGACATGAAAAAGTATTCAGGTAGGATAGTACATAACATGGGAATAGTGGACTTTTCCTTTCCAGAAAGGATTACTGCTTGTGTGCCATCAATATGCTTTCAACTTATGGCAAACTTAAAAGGCTTTTCAAGGCATATGATGGTTCAAGGAGTGGATTACTATTGCCACTCACAGCAAGTTTCCATGGCTGAGCATTGATTTGAACCCAAATCTTCTGAGTCAGCGCCAAATCTTCTGGCGCAGTGGTTAAAACGCTGTACTGCAGCTATAGTTCAAAAAGCTATCCACTCCACCATACTGGCTCAAATGGGTTTGCTACTACTTCTAAAATACTAGATTTATCTGAAGACCAAAGAAGCTACTTGAACGATAGTGAAACGTTTCAACCTAATAAGAAAGATGTCCGGTTGCCATGACTCAACTTCCAGAGATCTGAAGAACAGTTTTCCCACTCCTCTAAGGCTGGCAAAGCAGGCTGTCCTCCTGCTATCTTCTTTCCACGGTGGAGCTGGAAGAGACTTGGACAGGGGTTTCTTAGCAGCAGTAATGATTCCCTGGCCTTGGAGGCTTGGGTTACAACATCTTTATATGCTCTTCACTGTGTAATTAAAATTTTGACTGTTTGAGACAACTTTCTTGAGGTTGATGAGCTGCTTTTCTCTTCATATTAGCCAAATTACTATTTGTGTAACTTTGTGTGGTAGAATTCAATATGTCATCAGCTCACGTCACTAAAATTTATTTTAAATTAATTAAATGCCTCCTATCTGTCTGCTTTAGCTTCTGAGGCTCATTGGGGCTTCCATTTACTTTGGGGAAGCCTTTTATCACTATCATCTTAGAACTGCAGAGCTGGAAGGAACCTTATGGATCGCTGAGTCCATTCTGCCAAGGAGGCAGAATGAGGAATCAAACTCTCAACTGGCAGCCAGTTGCCTAAACCAGAGGTCCCCAACCCCTGGTAAAAAGGTTGGGGACTGCTGGCCTAAACCACTGAACCGTCCACTTCTTTGGGAGCCTCAGGACTGCAAGGGGCTTAATTGCCAAAAATTGCTGTCAGAGCACTGCCAGTGATCTCAATCCTGGCAGTGGTGATCCAATGGCTATTTCTGGTGACTAAAGCCTCCCCTCCCTCTGTCCTGCAGCTCCCAAAGGCTTCCCCAGAGCAAAAGGGAGCCCTAGGACCTGAAACAAGGAAGCATTAAATCAATTTAAAATGTATTTTAGCAGTGTGAGCTGATGGTGTCATCAATATCTGCTATGCAAAGTTACACAAACAGGATTGGGACCATTGTTTGTCTGTATTATTTTAATGATACAATACTGTGGGTATTTTGAATAGTAATGTATTTCATAAATAAATCCCAGTAATAAACAAAATGAATTTTCAAATGATTAAGTGCTAAAACAGAAACTTAACAAAATATCTTATTGGTAAAGCCACATTCCTAATAATTTACTATTGTACCTCTTTACAAGTCATAGCAAAGTTAAATGCTTGCGTTTGCCGATGAAAAAGTTTCCAAACTGAGGATGGTTGCCATAGTTTAGACAGCTGTGGTTTGTAACGTGCAAAGAGTGGCCTTTGTTTATATGAAGACGCCAGTTCCTCGATGTTCTTTACTCTTTCTTCCCATCTTCTCTTTGTTCCTCCTAGAATAATCATATAACAGTTTTTAGACCTATCAGAAATATATGCAAATCAATAGTTTATTGAGATTCCCATTTATTATCTTCTGTCTTTCAGCTGTATTCTCTTTGCTAAAACACAAACAGAAGCAGACTATGGTACTGGCTATAAATTGCAGCACTGTGGCAGTGGTGCAGTCAGCCGGCAATACAGTGTGATGGCAGTTGCCACAGAAGCAGGTAGCCCCACCCATCCACTGGGCATGAAAAAACAAACTGCAAACTGGTTTGGTTTTCTGGTTGGTTCGTGGTAGTTATCCTATGAACCATCGCTAACCACCATTTTTCAGATTTGTGACCATCTGTACTTTGAATATTAAGATCTTTGGCAGAAACCCTTCTCTTGGTTTCACCATTGGAGGCAAGTTAAGTGAGAATGTAAGAGATGGCTTTCTTGGTAGTTGCTCCCAGACTGATTTCCTTTGTGTTATCCTTCATTAAGTACACAAAGACTATTTTATTCAGACATAACACTTAAGTTGCACTAATGTTGATGGGGGTCTTAACTAGTTGAATGCTGTTGTTTCTTTTTTATTTGTGCGTTTTCATCTGTTTTTATTTTATGTTTTAATTATATCCCAGTTTTTAAAAAATATGCATGCCTTGAATGCATTTTTGTGGGGGAAAGCTAGGATATAAATACAATAAAAATAAATAGAATGTATAATTTACATGGGAGTTGCACCATAATTTACAGACTGATTTTACAAAGAGGAGTTGAAAGGGAGTTGGCTTTCACTGTCTTCTTGATTGCCCAATGATGATGAGTTTCTGACATATGCTTACCTTTGAATCAGTTTTTAATACCAGAAGCAAAAGAGCATAGAAATAATACCCAGACATGTCAATTGTTTAATGTCAGGTTCCAGAATGGTTAGTCTTATTCAACAGCCTCAAAGTCAGCACTAGACTGCTGCAATCCACCAGTACCACCACCAAACAATCCTAACATTGGGAAGACTTCTTGAAATACATTTTGCAGCCTGATATTGTACCTGCTTTTAAAGTACAAGCATCTTGAGAAATGTGATTACTCTGTATCAACATTACTTGCTCTGCAAGATTTACTAATATTTAGTATCAATACATTTACTGACACTAAACATTTTGAAGACTTAGAACAGTGGACTTACTGGTACTCATGAGAACTTTCTCAGAGAAGTAATCACTAGCATTCAGTCTTTCAATTCCTAAAGTGAAGATAAACACCTGTAAGAAAACATATAAAATATTAATACACCATTGTTACAGACTGAACAAATTTATAGAATTTTTGCCTGTAAAAATTCCCTAACCACAGTATACTTTCAAAATCAGTGATAGTCTAAAGACATTAAAACAAATGCAATTCATAATAGAAAAGGCCACACACAGAATTATCAGAATATCATGTCTTCCAACAAAGACGTGCAGAATATTTGTAAATGCTATTTCTTCTAATAGGTATTATATTTTTTGTATATTAAACCAGTGGTCCACAACCTTTTTGATACCATGGACTGGTTGGGGGGGACGAGGTCTGTGTGCAGGTGGGGCGTGGTATCCCCACGCTCACGCACAGGAGCTGCACTTGCTTGCACAGTCACACTCGCGTGCATGCACAAAGGGGCAGGGGGTGCTTGTGTGGCGTGCACTCGCATGCATGTGCAAAGGGGCTGGGGGGCAGAAGATCTGTCTCCGTGGCCCGGTCCAACCAAGGCCACCGACTGGCACTGGGCCACGGACCGGGGGTTGGGGACCCCTGCATTAAACTATACTTTGTCATACCACACCTTCAATTTTCAAAAACATACCAATATTGAGGATTTGTTAGTATGCAGATTTCAGTTCAACTAATCAACAAATTCTGTTAAAAGACCACAGATTAATAAATGAAACAGTTTATATTTTATTGATAGCCCCAACATGAATAGTATGCATTCCATGAAAGCCAGAAAACTGACTTCTGTATGTTACTGATATGTGACTACCCAGGAACAGATTCAAATCAAGACTATACAAACATGTATTGCTAACAGAGGAAAAAGGCAAAACAGACAGCATATTGTCCTCCTTTTTTCTATTCCCTTATCCATTGTCCTATAGTATTAATGTCTTAACAATAACAAAAAGGTCAAACTAAACATTAGGGGGGAAGTGCATGTTTCCTGTTATTTTCATCCATCAACGGATTTTATTCAAAGCTGTATGCCTCACAAATTAGACTTGCAGATTCAGCCCATGTTTACCTTTTGATGACCAATCACAAAACAAAGTACAGTGGTGCCTCGCAAGACGATTGCCTTGCGGGATGAAAAACCCGCAAGACGATTGGTTTTTGTAATCGCTATGGTGCCTCGCAAGATGGTTTCTTCTATGACCATGCTTCGCAAGATGTTTTTTTCAAGACTGATGCCTTACAAGACGAATAAATTTCATTTGTCTTGCGCGGTTCCCATAGGGAACCTCACAAGATGATTTTTTCGCAAGACAGCAATTCTTGTGGAACGAATTACAATCGTGCTGTGAGGCACCACTGTATTCCAGAATGCAAAATAATGAGATGAGGAAAAATATGTGCAAACAGAAATACAAAATATTTTATCACTTGAACACTACTTCTAAGTATGAGCTTGGTCTATCATCTAATTTGACCCTCAGTTACCAAGATAGACTGAAGCAATCACTTTGCAGACATCAGGGTTATGCTACAGTATTGAACATGAATGGGAAGAAAACCTAAGACACCATTTCAGCTCTATGTGAGGGTTCAACTTTAGGCTCCTCTTTTGGTTCAAAGAAATCAGTAGATTTTTGTTGCTTCAAAACAGGCAAAAGATTTATTGGTGCATTTAACAATAAACAAGTGTGTGTGACATGATTATGAGTCTTTTCTCCTTCTGCCAACGGGTCCGGAAGGGGTCTCCAATCTTCTAAGAGAAACGGGTTGCCATAACTATTGTTCCATGGTCCCAGTAAATCAGCAGGGACCCAGTCTTTTACGGTCTTCATGGGTTAGAAGGAAGGAATGGGAGGGCTGGACTAATTGTCTATTTATCCAGCACTAACCAATTGTTCTTTCCAGCCTTTGATTTCAGAAAGAGCCCTACCTCTATGCGGAGTGTTTTTCCCCTCTCTTTCTTCTGTTGGATGCAGTTATTTGTTTCCTCATGGTTTTTATGGTTCCTTGCTAAGTATGAGTGCAGTAAAGAAAGCGACATACACAAGTCAGCAAATTTTACACAACTGTAAGTAAAAATGGTTTTTATTCTTTGTCCTACAAATGTCTCAGAGTGAAAAGTGCAAAGAGAAAGTGGTGGACTCTGGAGGACTTGTAGCTAATCTCCTCCGTGGAGCTGCCCTGCTGTGTAGCAAAAGGAATGTTTACCAGAAATTCAAAACTCTGCTGCAGAATCCTTACCCACCCATTATTTGTTGGAATTATGATGCAATATGTTCATACTGGAAGTGGGTTTTAGTGTCTGTTTAGACACTAAACAGTGGGTTTTGTGGGTTTTAGCCCTGTCTCTACTGCTAGGCAAAGATAACTATCTTGGGCAGATATTGGGGGTGGGGGAGCAAATCATGGTCCCCATGACATTTCAAAGTGAGGCATCTACCTTCAGTCTGGACCTCTATCCACACAGCATATTTAACGTCCTCTAAGCAAGCCTGTTACTGATGCTGCCCTGTCATCAGCACATAAGACTCAACTGCTGATTAGTTTCTGAACGCGGGAAAGGAAAATCATGTTCTCATCCGCCACAAGCAACAAGCTATTTGGCCGGAGAACTGGGGCTAGTACATCCCCACGACCATAACTTCAGACTGTATCTTTGTCATCCACTAAGCAATAATGCAAGCAAGCGAACACACACACACACAGCCACACGCAGAGGCAGCTTAAAATAACAAATCTTTCACTGCGCTACACAGACGCAATTCCCAAGTGCTAATCTAAGTTTGGAAAAAAGAGAGACTCCGGCATTCATGACTCTTTACACCCTGACATTCGCTTCACTTTTTTTGTTTGCTGTTTTCGTTGTTTCAGTAGCTGCCTATAGGCTTGTTTTAGACACGACGTGTGATTCTGAATTCACACTACTGGCGCGTATCTAAAAGCGGGGGTCGGGTCCACCCTACCTACCTCTGAAGAGTGTTATTTTTCTCCAAATGAGTGGTGGGCGCCGCCTTGCAGCCCCTGGGGTGCGGAGAGGGGAGTCTGTGCGAGAGGGAGAAGACGACTGGCAGAGAAGCCTTTACCCGACCCGCGGTTTCCCGCTCTTTTCATTGGGCGCAAGGCCCTGTTGCTGGGGCCGTCGCCGTTGCTACGGGGCGGTGGCGGCCTAGGCTTGCCTGCCTTCCTTCTCCTCCTCCTCCTCCTCCAGGGGCGGAGCGGAGAGAAAGAGGGAAGGAAGGAAGGAGTAACGAGTGGCGGGGAGGAGAAAGAGGGCGCGGAGTCAGTTCGCCTCACGAAGAGGTTGGCACAAAAGAGGGGGAAAGCCGAGGAGGAGGAGGAGGAAGCGACAGAGGTCGATGACACCCCCACCCCGGGGCGGATGCTTTACACGGTGTAAGCCGCTCAAACCGCCCTCTCAGGGTTGCAGCTTTCCTCCGTGTCGGACGCCAGCCGGCCAGCCGCCGTCTTCTCTTGTTCGGCGTGGCTCTCCTTGCGGCTGGCTCCTTCGAAAGAAGCGAGCCGGGAAAGCAGGCGGTGGAGGGAACGAGTTCTTCCTCGCGAAACTGTTGCTTCTCCAGCCGAGCCCAAGCCGTGAGGAGAGCGGAGGGCAGGGACTGTGTGTGTGTGGCGGCGGCTGCTGCTGCTTCCTTCACGGTCCCAATTCCTCCTCCCCCCCCCTTTCCTCGGCAGCCCAAAGTTTGGTTACTCAGGCGCCATTATCAGGTACAGTATGGCTCGGGATGTCTCTCGATCCCAGCCGCGCCAGCTCTCAAGCTTTGAAAAAGAAAAGAAAAAAGCCCGCCGGGCCCCGGGCCGCGCCGGTGAATCAGAAGCGCCCGGAGGCAACGCATGGCTGAGCGGGTCGGAAACAAAAGATTTCCTGCCTCGCGTGGGAATAAGCGGCTACGGGCGCAGTTCGCTGCGGATACTTGGTCTGGGGAAAAAAAGCAACCAGAACATGGTCGAGTGGCGAGGCTGAGCGACGACGTCCCTCCCCGCCGCGATGGAGAGGAGTCTTCCTCCTTCCCCCCCCCTCCGCTTTCTGCTTTGGCTAAAACGGTTTTAAGTGTTTTATCTTTCTCTGGCGGCCTGTTGAGAACAGATGAGGGAACTCGTGCTTCCAAACTAAACAAAACATCTCGGGCCAGCCGTTTGTTGTCATGAGCCGTCAAGTCGATCCGACCCTCCCCGTCCACTTCACTCAGGGCGACCCTATGAAGTGGCGATCTCCAAAATGTGTTCTCTCAACTGCCCCTGCTCAGCTCTGGTAAACTCAAAAGTTGTGGCTTTCTTTAGAGAATCAGGCCGTCTAGTATCTGGTCTCCCTGTTTCCTGCTGCCTTCCATCTTTCCCAGCGTTATTGTTTCTCCCAGAGAATCTTGCCTTCTCATGATGTATCCAAAGTAGGACCCTTTTAGTTTCAACATTTTTGCCTCCAGAGAGAGTCCGGGCTTGATTTGACATGCAGCAGTAGAAGAGTCCTAGTCTTTGTGAGTACCACAGTTGAAGATGTTGGCTGAATTACTCTGGGCCCATTACACCAAAGATGGAAAGTTGTGATTTTAAGTGTGCATGTTGGCACATCAGAAAAGTTGCTTATACAGCCAGCTTATCTGATTTGTATTCAGCTATTCGGCCCAGTTCCAATTCTGAGCTTGTCTTTGACAACTCTTGTTCTGAGACCAAGCCGGAAACAAAGAATTAACAGCAGCACATGGGAGTTCAGAGGCAGGATTCTCTCTAGTCACTACCCAGTCTTTTGCTTAGTTTAACTTCACCATGTTTCCCTGAAAATTCCTATTTGTAACCTGAAAGTAAGCCCTAATATGATTTTTCAGGATGCTCGTAATATAACCCCTACCCCAAAAATAAGCCCCAGTTAAGTGAAACCGCACCTTCCTGCATTGTGCAGCAACCGGAAAAAGATGACATGACTGTATTTGAATAAATGTAGATTGTTGTAAAAAGGTAAAGGGAAAGGTTCAATTTTTGTCCAGTCGTGTTTGACTCTAGGGGGCGGTGCTCATCCCCGTTTCCAAGCCATAGAGCCAGCGTTTTGTCCGAAGACAATCTTCCATGGTCACATGGCCAGTGCGACTTGGACACGGAACACTGTTACCTTCCCACCGAGGTGGTCCCTATTTATCTAGTTGCATTTGCATGCTTTTGAACCGCTAGGTTGGCGGGAGCTGGGACAAGCGACGGGTGCTCCGTCGCGTGGATTCGATCTTATGACTGCTTGGTCTTCTGACCCTGCAGCACAGGCTTCTGCGGTTTAGCCGGCAGCGCCACCACATCCCTATGTAGATTGTTGTACAGTAGATGAAAAAAAAAATCCCCTGAAAATAAGCCCTAATGCATTTTTGGAGCAAAAATTAATATAAGACCCTGTCTTATTTTTGGGGAAACACGGTAGTTGGCATAGTAGATTAAAATTACTTCCCACATCTAAAGACAAGGAAAGTGTGAGAGTAAAAAATTTTGCAAGATAAACATGACTTGTTTCTGTTGAAATCTCTCAGATGTTTTGCCCACAGGTCATATTAGCTATGAACTTCATTTTGGGCAAAATTTATTTGCCATGTGCCTCTTTGCATGTCTGTTCAGAGGTTAAGCACTAGAGGTGGGGATATTCCTATTTGTAAACAAATATTCCATCCGAGCTGGACCTAATGAGGATTCGGCCCCAGGGATCCGACCGTTCACTCATGTGTCCTGGCACCATGAAGGTCCTGCTCTTCCCACCAATGGTGCCCGGAACTCCTCTACCTGCTTGGCTGGCCACTCCAGGCAGGGGGCAGGAAGAAAAGTCTCCCCGCACGGCTGCTGAGTGGCCAGCTGCGCAGGAAGACAGAGGAGCTCTGGACGCCGTTGGCAGGCTGAGCAAGACCTTCACAGCACCAGGACGCATGAGTAGATGGTCCAGCTGGGAAGGGGGATATTCATATTTGCTTACAATTTACATTTTTGTCTAATAAGCACCTTTGGAGTCACTGGGACTTGTTGTTAGACTTAGACTCCCATCAGGCATAGCCAACTGGTGAGAGATTATGAGAGCTGTAGTTCAGCAATACCTGAAGAGCCACCGATTTTCCAACCCAGGTTTACAGACCTGCAGAATTTCCATGAGTTTGTTCAAATATTTTGCTTCCCTCAAAACACTCAAGATTTTTTTTCTCCAGAGAGAAGCCCTACACCTGCATTGACATTTGCTGTATATACTGCGAAGTAGCAGTAGTAACTCTGAATACTCACTGAGCCTCTGAGTTATTTGAATAGGAGCGTTAGACAGAAGGTCATTCACCCTTTGAGGAATATTTATGCATAATTGGTTGTTTCTCACAGCATACTTCTTGTCAAAGAAAGAAGGCAACGCCCATGAAATCTGAACAATTTTTTTTCCGGGGCAATGTCTTCAGCATAGCAGCAGTTCTTTAAGAGAAATTTAACTCTTTAAGAATAGATTTGTTAATTACCCAAGAAATCATGGACTTAAATTCAACATGATACTAATTCAAGCTATACTCATGCTACATCAGAATTCCATTCCCTCCCTTTCTCCCTGACAGTCTTCAAAACTTCTTAAAAACCAGCCCTGGAGGGTTTCCAAGGCCTCCTTAACATTTTTTAAGGTAACGGGGATTTGCAGTGGGAGATGGATATAATCCACCTCCAATTTCTGCTCTTCTACCATAGGAAATCCACAGTTTCATCCTGCCCATAACATCTAATAACTCCATCACTGCCTGTGCAAAGTGGTGTAGCTGAAAGGAGACACTGGGAAAGAACTAGAGATGGAACTATGTTTGCAAATTATAGGATTTGAGTGACAGGAGATGCACACTTCCTCATATCTACAGCAACCCAGATACTAGCTATCAGTTGTTGTTTTATGTCAGCAGCTGGATCTGTGCACCCTTATGTTGTTAATTGTATGTCCCTACTAAAAGTGAGAGCATATGGATTGACTTAGTACAGTGGTGCCCTGCACCACGACAATAATCCGTTCCCCTGAAATCGCTGTTAAGCGAAAACACCGTCCAGCGAAAACAGTTTCCCCATTGGAATGCATTGAAACCCATTTAATGCATTCCAATGGGGAAATTACCTCGTCATCCAGTGAAGATCACCCATGGGGAAGCCATTTCCTGAGCGCCGATCAGCTGTTAAAATGGCTGCCCTGCGAAGCATGTGTCTGGAAAACAGGGCAGCCATTTTCTGGAGCCGGAAAACATTGTCATCTTGCGAACTGGAAAACAAAGGGCAGCCATTTTCCGGAGCTGGAAAACATTGTCATCTTGCGAACAAACGGTTTACGAAGCACGGACCTAATCGTCATCAAACGAAAATCCCCCATAGAAAACATCATTTTGCGATCACTATAGCGATCGCAAAAAAGTCACCATCCTGCAGATTTGTTGTACAGTGGGGTCATCGTCTAGCAAGGTACCACTGTATAGCAAAAATTGTCTCTTTTTGCTATACTAGGCTAGTCAGTTTTGCTGATTATAATACTTATCTGTGTTATTGTCATAGTGTTTTAAGTTCTTCATTAATGTTAGTCCAGAAAAGATTTTCTGTATTTCATTTTTAAAGACACAACCATAAACAAATATACCTGGAAACTAATCTATTTTTCCATTGCCTTTTTAAGAGCTTGGAGTAACCTGAGAAAACAGGCAAATTACTTTGCACTGGATCCTGACCACAGCTTCCCTCAGCAGTTGTAGCACTGAATTTTGCAAAGGTAGAAGAGCTGTCACCGCCAGCATGTAATAACCAGTGCAAGGATCAGATTTGCTAGATTGGATTGTGCCATCTATAGTGGGCTAGCAGAAATGAGCATGCAGAGATCAATAGAATGTGTGACTTGTGGATCCCAGCAATACTGTGTCAGGATGCCTGACTATAAATGCCTCTTAAGTATTCTTATTTAGCAGAACTAGAATCGGTGACAAGTCAGTTGCATCCCCTCTCCTTTATAAATTAAACTTGGTTGTAAATTTGATTTGAAAAATCAAGGAAGGGATTGCTTAACCCTTTTTTCACAGGTTACCTTTCTAGAAGATCATGAGAGCCACTTCTGTATCTTGCTGCTTTAAAAATGAAGACTTTTTATCACACTGCGTATGTTAATCAGCTTATCTGTGCAAGAATGACCATGTTACCACCCAGTTTTTGTTTCTTACATAACCATTGCTGAAGCAGTTCTCACTGTCTAGTTTTTGCATTCCTATTTCCCCTGGCCCTCACTTGGAAGTGTTCACCTAGAGGAGAAATTCTGTATCTTTATACTTGGTCTGGACTATGACTTTGTGTCACCACACATGACAGTGCTAGAATGCCCTTGTCTCCTCCCAACTACTGTTGTTAAACGACCATTCTTAAGATAATCACAAGTTTCTCTATTCTCCTATACCTCCTTCCATCCTAGGAACTCCCAGCCTCTGGCTCTGCAGTCAAAGTCTAAACCACTGAGCTATATCTTCCCGGTCTTGGTTGATAAAAGGCTAACAGACACTCTGCAACCTTGCACTGCCTTATATTGATAGCCTAAAAGATGTCAAGTGCCTGAGTATATTTTCTTCTTCTTTTTTCCAAATTTACAGTAACTTTCTTGTCTTTAAGGTGCTGCAGAATCTACCTGGAAACTTTCTAATAAGAAAGCATCATTTTCTAATTGCTTTTTTCAGTTTGTCTTTTGGTAAGGATAAGAGATGGGGGCTGACTCACCATTTTGGTGAGTCGTCCTGCTTTGTAAGTCATCAAAAGTTGACAGCTCATGAAGTTGCCCCCTTGAAGTGATGGATAAAGAAGTACGTACAGTGGTGCCTCGCTCAGCCATCGCTCCGTTGAGCGCCGAAATCACTTAGCGACGGGGTTTAAGCGATCGCAAAAGCGATTGCTTAGCGATGGTCCCTATGGGAAAAATTCGCTTTGCGATGATTGCGGGGAAGCGATCATCGCAAAGCCCCCATTTTCGGCCAGCTGATCAGCGGTTTCAAAATGGCCGCCAGAAAAACAAAATGGCGGCCCGCTGTGTTGCCTCGCTTTAGAGGCACCGAAAATGGCCGCCCCTATGGAGGATTTTCACTTAAGGTTAGTTTTGAAGCCCATAGGAATGCATTAATGGTGTTTTAATGCGTTTCTATGGGCTTTTAAAATCTGTTTAGCGATGAAATCACTTAGCAGCGTTTTTTTCCTGCACAGATTAACATCGCTAAGTGAGGCACCACTGTAATTTGTCGATTCATGGGGGGGTTATTTAAAAAAAACACCACTGCATCGCCACCCCCCACTGACACCTCCTTCCTATTAAAACAACAATTCTGTCTGCCAGCTGCCAATCAGCAGCCCGTCCCACAGCCTACCCCCTTCCTTTCCCTACCTTAGCCCCACCCACAACCCCTTACCTTAATCACCGCTGCTGAGGTCTTCATCTGGCCTCCTAGTCACGGCATGTAAAAAGGGAGACTAGCTGCCCTTTAGAAAGATTGTGGCTTTTTTAAAATACGAAGGATGAATAAAAACGGGTAAATATTCGTCCCTTCGTATTTGTGGGGGTCTCTGGGACCCACAAATATGAAGGGACGAATATTTAATGAATCAGCTATTTTCGTCGAAAAAGCTGATCCGTTTTTATATTTGTCCCCATCTCTAGTAAGGAGGCGTCTTCCCTAATATATGTCACACATCTTGTGGTTTGGATATCTGGCTGCAGAGCCAGAAGCTGGGAGTTCAGTACCCCACTGTGCCTCCTGACAGGGGCTGGACTCAGTGATCCATAGGGTGCCTTCCAGCTCTGCAGTTCTAAGATGGTGGTGGTGATCTTAAATTTGGCCTTAGAATGAGATACTGGTTAGCTGAAAGACTTAACTTCTTTTCTATAGGGGATAACAGCAAGTCCAGTTATAGTGAACATCGTAATAAGGTAGTCAAGAGAATAGGGAGAAGAGCCTACCTGAATGTACTGACAACCCATAATATAGTGTGCAGAGGCATCTCATTCTGCCCTTTGGGAATTGATTCTCTTGTTGGTGAGACCATGATCCTCTGGTGCCTGAAGTTTGTATTTGTAGCAAGTGAACAGATCACAGATACTGTTTATGTAGTACCCTGTTTCCCCGAAAATAAGACCTAACCTGAAAATAAGACTTAAGATAATTTTTCAGAATGCTCGTAATATAAGCCTTACCCCAGTTAAGTGAAACCCTGCCCTCCACCATTGTGCAGCAACCAGAAGATGACATGACTGTATTTGAATAAATGTAGGTTGTTGTACATGAAAAAAAAAAAAAAAACGGCCCCTGAAAATAATCCCTGATGTGTTTTTGGAGCAAAAATTAGTATAAGATCTTGTCTTATTTTCAGGGAAACACAGTAGCTTGAAGAGTGCACCCCATTCCTATATATGTGCCTCTTAAAAATATAAACTGTGATACTCTCACATGAAGTTGAGCACCTACCAAAATGTGCACCATACTTTTAATTCAAAAGGTTTTTTCATTAGGACCTCAGAAGCTAGTAGTTGAGAATTAGTAGCTGAGATGGATTGTGACTTCTTACTAAAACTATCTTTGCTTCAAAAATGACCCATTTAAATCTGATAAAATCTGTAATGCTATAAGACAGCTCTATCAGATAGTTTTGTTGGCTTTGTTTCCTATTTGATTGCTCCCTGAAGCAGCCAGGAACTACATGATGAATGCTGTGCTTTATATTTTCAGATCTTTTAATCTTAAAAAATGGATGATGAAAATCAATAGTTATATTGCCCTAGATCATAAGCTATGGATAAAATGCCTTGTACCCTATAATGAATGTTGTCAGCTGTTATGTTATAAACTTTTCTTAGAAGCCTCTTAACTTTCTATGACATTGAAAATGTTTCTTATATGATGAGGGCAGGGGAGGTATCAAAAAGCAGAACAGCAATTAACTGACTGTTCCTAGAAGGCTTTCTTCATCCTGTATAGAATGAGATCATCGTCCCCAGAGAAATGTACATTCTGCTTGACAGAATATGACATCAGTGCATTAGCTAACCAAGATGAGGTAATGGTTTAATACTCAGGCAAAGTTGGCTAGTAACAGCATTATTCTCCCAAGACATTTGATGCTTCTCTGTGTTAGCATCACTGTTGTGGAACAAAAACAAATAATTGCTGACAGAGCATGTGTCTGACTGCACAAAATCAAAACGCATGTCTGCTTATGGATAGATCTTCTTGTGACCTTTTGTTCTTTAAACACATGGGACTAACAGTTTTATGTCAAAAACTCTTGTCTTTTCAGGCGAAGTGCAATTATTTTGTCAGAAAAAAAAACTTTTTATCATTCTAAACCTGCCTATATTGCTGGTATTCTAAGGATTAATATTAGAATGAATTATTGGAATTTATTATTTAGAAGCATCTAGTATACACATGTTCCTGCAAAGGGCGGCATTTCCAATAGTGTCATTGAGTTACAGATGTATATGTATTTACACATCTACTTGTGTGTTTCAGTTTCTGAATAAAAAATCTAGCTTGCAAAACTTCAGCTGGTTTTCAGAATAATGAACCATTAGAATTGTAATGATACAGATTGTATCAATTTTAACTATGGAAAATTAGGGGAAATTCATATTTTAACCTATTTGTTTGATTCTTGAGAAACAACCTGTAAACGTCTGGTAAACTGCTGAAAATGAATTACAGTGATGCCTCGCTTGACGATGATAATCTGTTCCAGGAAAATCACTGTTAAGCGATATCGTCATCAAGGGGGAAAAAACCCATTGAAATGCATTGAAAACTGGTTCAATGCATTCCAGTAGGGGAAATGCCTGCTCATTTTGCGAAGATCCTCCATAGGGTGGCCATTTTGCGATGCCTGTAAAGCGAAGAATCGGTCCTGAAAACAGCAGGGAGCCATTGTGCGACCCACCAATCAGCTGTTTTCAATCATCGTCCAGCGAAAACGGTTCCCGAAGCTGGGAACTGATTGTTGTAAAACGAAAAAAGCCAATTGAATCATTGTTTTGCGATCGCTATAGAGATCGCAAAGAAGGAATCGTTACGTGATTTCAGCGTCAAGCAGGGTAATCATCAAGTGGGGCACCACTGTATCTCTGGCTGTCTCTAGTAGAGAGCCTGACATTATTTGCCAATCAAAAATATTCTTAAATTGCATCTTCCTGATTTGATCACAAAACAGCCACCAGAAATTGTACCTATAGTATATTTAAGGTATAACAGTACGGAAGTTTGTGATATATATAAAAAATTAAATTTTGCTGACAATATGTCTTCTTTTCCCAACAGAAAAGCTATGGCAGACAGCAACCATATTGTGAAATCACCACAAAGTATGACAGATGCAAAAACACTTTCTCCTTCAGAAGGGTACATGACACTTCTTGGTTGTTGTTGTTGTTGCTGTGTTACTTAAAAAAAAAAAAATCTCTAGCCAGTGCAGGGCTCAGGTAATGAGATCTGTCCTTAAAATACATATAGCAGCCATCTTAAAACCAACCCCCTTCCTTAGGCCTGATAATGTTGGATCAGGAAGCATATAGCAACTGTGGCTGCTCTCTTTTGCTAGTATCTCTCATTCACCTGCTATTTTCCTGTAAAGAAGGCAAGGAGACAGTGTTGATGCATGTGACAACTCCTTTGCCTAATATTACATAAAAAGGCGGGTGGGCAAAATGTTGTGGAATGTGAAATAAATGTGAAACCACTTGAACAATTTAGAAAAATGACAGAATCTTTGAGGCAAGTATATTAAACAACATATTTTTTCACAGGAAGGGCATACCTGTTAGCAAATCTGTGGAGTCTGTCATACATGCAGATGAGAGTTACAGAATGGACTATCCAGAAATGGGAATGTGTATTTTAGTCAACAATAAAAACTTTCATCCAGCTACTGGTAAAGATCACTTCTCTGTTCTGTGCTTTTATACTTTTGTTAAAGCTTTGTTCCATTAAGGTTAGAGCATAAAACTGTAGCTTGCCTTAAATTATCAAATGTAAGGCTTCTGACTATAATCCCTAGAAAATCAGATATCAGTCATTTGGACCTTTGCAAAGTTAAATGCCTTAAACTCCTGAAAACATGCATAAAATTGCTTTTGAATAAAGCAATATATCGAAACAAAAAATATATTCCTAGTTTCTAGATAATATGCTGTTTTTGGTATTAGGCATTTCTTGCAGAGAAAGAAATTATTCTAAAATGACACCTATAATGGTTTAATAATTTTAATTAAAACCAGTTAACTTCATAATGGCCAGAATCCTACTGATATTCATGTAATGTTTGACTAACTTGGATGTGAGTGTGGTCTGGCTGTGACGTCTTTATCATCCAATGGATCATCAGGGTTGATTCAGATGATCTGACTGGCTAGGCTCATTCCTCCACTCCTCCGTATGTGTCCATCCCAGAATCGCACACTTGCTGGGAAATTATAGCTATCTCAGAAGGAGCATGCCATTCTTCAGTCAAAGGTCACAACACAGAGTTACAACACTTGCCAGAGTTCATTGATAAGGTGCACATTGTGGATGCATGCCTAGCTAGATCATGCAAGTGAGACGCACCTTGTTAAGTTGGCAACTAGCCACAGTTAACTATAGCACATTATGCAGACTTCATGCAAACAGAAATAAAATTCCAGCCACCTGATGTAAATGATCAGGGAGTCCTTTTCTAATCCATCAGGGGAGATTTTATTTTTTTAGTCTTGCATCCATTATAAGCCCATGTAATGAATTACTTCGTACTACCAGCTCATTGATAAGTAGACAAAGATGGCAGTTGTGATGCTCTATCTCCAGTAGTTATGTTACACGTTAGCAGCATAGCTTGGTTCAAACTCAGGAATATGTGGAGCTGAACCTCTGAAAACATTCTTAGTAGTAATATTAATCTTAAAAAATGTTTTTCATAACATTGTAATTTTTAAAAACTTAGGCATCTCGTTCTCTCTTGTGTTTTGAAAGCTAAATTGCTTTTGTGTAATGGTATGATTAGTATATGTGAGAAATATGTGGATTCTTCAGGGCAGAATTTGCACTGCTAATATGTTTTCAGAATATTATCAAGGCAACTTTGTGTTTTTATTTTAATTCAAAAGGGATGTCACATCGATCTGGTACTGATGCAGATGCTGCACGTGTTGTAGATACTTTCAGGAGCTTGGGGTATACTGTCAAGCCTTACAATGATCTTCCATGTAAACAGATTGTTGATGTTTTGCAAAATGGTGAGTAGTGAGTTGATGGAATGCTTCTATTGAACTAAAATGATGAATTCATGTATTGGTTGTTGTAGGTTTTCCAGGCTGTTTGGCTGTGTTCTGGAGGTTTTTCTTCCTAACACTTCACCAGTCTCTGTGGTCAGCATCTTCAGAGGACAGGAGTTAGAACTCTGTGTTCTGGTGTGGTGTGTTGGGATAGTTGAGTATTTTACAGTCATGGCCACAAATATTGGAACCCTTGCAATTCTGTCAGAAAATGCAACCTTTCTCTCAGAAAATTGTTCCAGTTTGGTTTGCACTGGAACAACATAAAAACATAGAGAAGAAAAGTTAAAACTGATACAATCCCACACAGAAACCCAAAAATGCACTGGCCAAAATTATTGACACCCTTAATTTAATATTTGGTTGCATCCCCTTTGGAAAAAATAACTGAAATCAATTGCTTCCTGTAACCATGAATGAGTTCCTTACACCTCTCTCCTGGAATTTTGGACCACTCTTCTTTTGCATACTGCTCCAGATTTGAAGGATGCCTTCTCCCAACTGCTGTTTTGAGATCTCTCCACAGGCGTTCTATGGGATTCAGATCTGGACTCATTGCTGGCCATTTCAGAACTCTCCAGCGCCTTGTTTGTAACCATTTCTGAGTCCTTTTTTTGGGTCACTGTCATGTTGGAAGACCCATGACCTGTGATGGAGACGCAGCTTTCTGACACTGGCCACTACGTTGTGCACCAAAATTCTTCAGTAATCATCAGATTTCATGAAACCGTTCACACAGTCAAGGCATCGAATGCCAGAAGCAGCAAAGCAACCCCAAAACATCTTTGAACCTCCACCATGTTTGACTGTAGGGACTGTGTTCTTTTCTTTGAATGCCTCGTTTCTTTTTCTGTAAACAGTGCCATGATGTCCTTGACCAAAAAGCTGTACTTTTCCCTCATCTGTCCACAGTACGTTCTCCCAGAAGGATTGTGGTTTTGTCATATATGTGTTGGCATACTCCAGTCTTGCTTTTTTATGCCTTTATGTCAGCAGTGGTGTCCTCTTGGGTCTCCTTCCATAGCATCCCTTTTCATCCGGATGGCAACGGATGGTGCAAGCTGACACTGTGGGACCCTGTGTCTGCAGATCAGCTTGAATTTGTTGGGAAGTTAATCTGGGTTCTGTATCCACCATTCGAACAACCCTTTGTTGTCATTTTTCAGCAATTTTGCTCTGTAGAGGTTAGCTACAGTGCCATGGGCTGTAAACCTCTTGATATTGCGCACAGCGGACACAGGAACATTAAGATCTCTGGAGATTGACTTGTAGCCTTGAGATTGTTGATGTTTTTTCACTCAAATGCACAAACAACTCTTTACACTTCATTCTTTTCTCCATGCTCAGTGTCACACACAACACAAAGGTTGAGTCAACTTTTCTCCATCTTAACTGGTTGCAAGTGTGATTACTATATTGCCCACACCTCTTACTTGCGACAGTTGTGTCTAAATATAAATTAAAGAGCATCACATGCTTGAAAAGCAATTATTTCTTACAATTTAGAAAGGGTGCCAATAATTTTGGTGAGTTCATTTTTGGGTTTCTGTGTGGGATTGTATCAGATTTGGCTTTTCTTCTGTTCCTTAGTATTGTTCCAACGCAAACCAAAGAAATGAACATGTGACTACCAAAACATTTGCAACTGCAACAATTTTCTGAGAGAAGGGTTGCATTTTCTGACAGAATTGGAAGGGTGCCAATAGTTGTGGCCATGACTGTAGCTGTGGGATCAGCTTTTTGTCTCCTGAAAAGGAGATTGGGTGATTATGGTGATCAGGGCATTTTTTGTTATGGGTGTATTGTTGTGATAAGGGAGAAAATGATCTGTCACTGTGATTGATGGGTGTCGTTAGCTAGTCTATTGTGTGCAGTGATCACCGGTCCTTGTGACTGGGTACGTTTTTGCAGGCTGTATTTTATATTTAAAAACTCTGCCCAGATAGACAGTTACTAAGGGAAAGCCTGCTAGAAGAGGAAAATACTTGTGGAGGGGCAACAAAGATGGAGTCAGCCTGGCCTCCAGTGGGAGGGAGTTCCAGAGTCTAGGGTGGGAGCAGAGAAGGTACTGTCCTGTGTCCCCACCAAACATACCTGTTGAGGTGGTGAGACAAAGAGAAAGGCCTAACTTAGACCCAGGCAGGCTCATCAAGGGAGATGTGGTCCTTGAGACCCAGTCTGTCTAGGTTTTAAAAAATGGGGGGAGGGAGTATTAAATTTTTTTCAAATTATTTAAATTGTCAAATATTTATTTATTTAACTTAAATCCTAGTTCAAATCAAATCCATCCTGGTGAAAAACAGCAGTTTGAAATGGTCCTGGAAATGGATCAGCAGCCAGTGGAGCTGCTGTAACAGGGGCTCCACATTAATCCAAACTAAGGTGGATGTTTACACTGCAGGATTAACTTTCAGTAGCGGAGCCTAGATAAGAGGTTGGATTTGGAGATAATTTGAGATGGGCAAGTAAGGTTTTTTGACCTGATCATGGAAGCTTGCAGCCTCTGTGTTCCTTGGAAGGATCTGAGGACTTTTTGTTTTAGTTCTTGGAACAAAATGCTTTCGAGGTAATTCAGAAAAATTTCAGAAAAACTACATTTTTGAATAAAATTAAGAATTTCCTTGAATATTTTGAAGAAAGGGGATTACTGTGCTTGATCTTTGCTATTAATTAAAAGTTTTATGTGCAGAAAAACATGTTACATGGTTCTCTGGAATTTCTGAATTCTGAAATATTGTATGTTTCTCTTTTTTTAGTTGCCAAGGTTGACCATAGTAAGAGAAATAGTTTTGCTTGTGTCTTATTAAGCCATGGGGAGGATGGATTGATCTATGGCACAGACGGCCCCCTGGAGCTGAAGATGTTGACGAGCCTCTTCAGAGGAGACAGGTGCCAGACACTGGCAGGAAAGCCTAAGCTTTTCTTTATTCAGGTAATGGCATGGAAAGGCAGACTGTAAAGTTTCTAATGAAACAGAAACTGCCTCAGAGATAAATTTTAGATAGGTGCAAATGTATGATGAATGTGAAAAATACAGCTACATTTTTAGGACTTGTGCACACAGTATATCCTGTGTCTGGTAACACTGATTCATGGGTGAATGAATGAATAGTTTATTGGCGGTTGTTAACCCAGACTTACATAATACTAAAAGATATAATAAAACAATAAAACCTTATAGAGATATATTAGTAAAAAGATATATGGTTTACATAATAAAATCACTTATAAATAGAGCACTATGTATGGCTTGCAGAACTAGAACCTCTGGCAATCATACATATGTGGGTGAGCATAGCAGCATTACAGAATCTGGCAACACAATTTGTGGTCTGTAAGGACCTGTCCGAGAGAAGTAGCTTCATGTAAAATTCACTGGGCCTCCCCACACTGATTCATGAGGTTCTGTATAATAATTTAATGTTCTAGTGCTTGTACCATTCATGCACAAAAGTAAAACAACTAAACAGGTTATAAGAGAGCATAGTGCAGTGATGGAGTACGTTGTTTACATGCAATATTTATTTGTTTAAAATATTTTAGCCCACCTTTCTCTTTAAAAAGGACTCAAGGCAGCTTACATAATGAAAAGACAATATTTAAAAGCTAAAAACAGTAAGTATATGAATATTTTAAAAGAATTAAACAGTATATTAAAAACGGCAACAACACACAACAATCCATTTTAAAAACATTCTGAGAAAGCCAATCACTAAAGGAAAGACTTCCTGAGGGGAAAGAACAGCAGAAATGGGGCCAGTTTGGCTGTCAGAGAAAGTGAGTTCCAGAGGCTGGGAGCAGCAGTGGGGAAGACACATTCCCATGCCCCCACCAAGTGTCCCTGTGAAAGTGGTAGGACCAAGCGCTCCCTTGCAGCTGATAATACTAGTTTCAGTCTCTGCAATCTCCATTTAAACCTGGAGTGTACTTTTCTTTGGAACCTCAAAGAGCTGCTGTTACTGTTTATAGATATTACAGAGTGAGATAAACCAGACATGGTGGAATGCTATTTAGTGTCTGTTGAAGACTAATTAGAATTGCCAAATACATTCAAAACTTGTCCTTGTCACACCACCTAATGTACATGATATGTTTTATTTAACAGCCAGCCTTTTCATGAACATGTGACTGCATTTCCCAATTTAATGCATTTCTCAAAAACTGCAATAAGGAGATAGAGATACCTCTCCAAAGTATGGATTACGTTTTGTCACTTTAATGCATTTTTCAGAAACTGCAGCAAGTATATGAGGTGTTTGTCTGAAGTAGATTCAGTTCTTCAAAAAACCTCCATTTATGAGTGTGGGATGTTGTGGTTCTAGATCCACAATTCAAAAAGCCAAGAAATGGCCCAATATTGCTGCAAAATATCATTCCTGCATTGCTAGCAGGAAAAAGGATGTCATGCTTTAGACAGCAAAGGGGAGCCTGAATGTTGGCAACACCAAATGGCAGCAGTCAAGATGGTCCACAGGATACCCTCTTCTGGTCATGGCCATTCTCACCCTTCTTGAAAAACAGCCCTGACAATGGCTTTGTGTTTGGGTGAGAAGCGGTGAACGGATGAAAAAAGAAGTCTGCTCCTGGGATTTTCCCCTATGTAGTGTCACTTGGTGAATGGTAGTGGTGCTGAGGGACTTTTGTTCAACACCTTGACTGTTTTGGCTGGCAGTTCCTAAGAGCAGAAGCTGTAAAAAATATAACTTTTCTAAGATCTGATTTCTGGTAGCAAAGCCGTTTTAGAAATAATCACATTTCAGCAGACTGCTCTGCTGAACATCTGATAAGATTCAGAGCACCTTTTGAGTGTTGCAAAACTTAAAGATTGAAATGCAAATTGAAACTTTTTCAGGTCTTCCATGTCTTTCCTGGTTATACTGTACCCATTTTGCTTATGAAGCTTACTTATTTCAATGAGCAGAGGTTGGCAGTAAAGTTTATCTATTCTCTAGCTATTAGAACTATGTAGAACTAAAACTATGTAGTTTTCTGCTTTACTATGTGCAGGCTTGTAGAGGAACAGACCTTGATTGTGGTATTGAAACAGACAGCAGTACAGATGAAAACATGTGTCAGAAAATACCTGTAGAAGCAGACTTCCTATATGCATATTCTACTGCTCCTGGTAAGAAAAAAATATGGTAGATGTAACTTCTTTATCAAAATACCTATGTTTGGGTCTGGGCTCAATCATGCTTATAGTAGACCCACTGAAGTCAGTAGGACTAAAGTTCATCAGTATTGACCCACTGATTTCAGTGAGCCTACTTTATATATAAGTATATCTCAATCTAAACTATAGATTTCTTCTATAACTACAAATTTCTTTCTGTCTTTTCTAAAGCTCTTTCTAACATTTTTTCTGTATTGTTTGATGAATAAACATAGAATATGAACCTACATCCCCCCCCCCAGTAAAATATCACTAGTTTTAGTGCAAGTACACTTATTGGGACATCCAGTAAAAGTTGTGCATCTGGCAAGCTATTGCTTATACTGTTTTCACTTCTGATTGTTCCAAATGAATATGCAAACATCCATTGACAAAGAACATATTTAATCAAATTCTCCACGTTTCATACCAGATACTTGAGATTAAGGCTGCATATACCTTGCATTTCTTCAGCTTGGTGGAGTATTTAAGCAGAGGCACACGACTAAACGACGATGACACATTTTAAGGGTTACGCCACTAAAGTCATGTCCAGCAGAACTAAGATCTTTATTCTGAACAAGTTTCTGTAGTTGTGTTGGTCAAAATGTGAAAAGGATTCATTGATATTTCATTTAAAAGCCTTGAATTAATTCCTTAAGACTTTGAAAAGGAAACCATGACTGGATTTTATAGTTGCATTTTATAGAACATTACATTTTATATTATCTCACTATATCTCTTTTATAGGTTACTACTCTTGGAGAAACTCATCAGAAGGTTCTTGGTTTATACAGTCACTGTGTATGATGCTGAAACAATATGCTAGAAAGCTTGAGCTTATGCAGATCCTAACACGTGTTAATCGCAAGGTTTCAGAATACAGTTCTTATTCAAACCATCCAGACTTCCATGGAAAGAAGCAGATCCCTTGTATTATGTCTATGCTTACAAAAGACTTTTACTTTCCTCATTAAGGTTTTCTATCTTGTGACATGAAAGCCAGCAGAAACAAGTTCGTGTTGATGCTACATTTAACTCTGAACAAGTTTTCAATATCCTGCAACTAGGTTGTATAAAAATTATGGAGAGAACAGTTCTCTGTAGAACCATAGGAAAGTTTGATAGATCAGAAACTTTGGTTTGGGAAAAATTAATGCTTGTAGACATGCAATAATTTTCTAACCTCTTATTAAGAGACATGAAAAGGATCATCATCATCGAACTCAAGTAACTTCCACATTATGGCTGTTACGAATTATTTGGTCTTTCTCATTTCTCTTAATAATGAGTCAGAAAATTACTGAGTTTACACTCATTTGCCTTTTCATACTGCAGTAGATTGTGAAGAGCAATAAAATATCACATTTTCAATTTTTTTAAAAAAACTGATAATATACTTAGGTTTAGACTAGCAGGATTTATTCAGAAGTAATTTGTGTTCATATAAATAAGTCAGTGTGGTTAAGACAGGAGTGTTCCATTACAAAGGAAGGCAGTTTTTCAAAATGGTACGAAGACTGAAATACACTTAGGTTGCTATTCTGAGTCCTGTGGTTACTTTAGAATATAAGTACTAGTAAAATTTATTATTTGGAGTTTTTATGTTAAACTAAATAGATGAAAAGGGGTGCTTGGAACTCTGTTCCTAACTCAATTCAAAAGTTATATGGCTTTACATTTTAAATTTATATTTCAAGTTAGACTTATGGCGTTTAAGCATGTAGTCTGTGCATGAATATAAATATAATCTAAACATACAGTGTGGTTCTTAGTAGATACTGAGTAGTGCTGATTGTTTAATTGTTTTATGAATAAGGATGTGCACTGTCTTCAGATAAACATGTAAATATATACCAAATCAGAAGTATTTATGCATTTTGAGGGCAAAACAGTTGGATTCAGCAAAGAGCCTAGAGGCACAAAAGTGTTAAAGCACCACTTTCATGAATCCCTCATATTAAACTCAGCATTCCTGTGTTGTGATTAGAAGTAGGAGAAGAGAAAGAAAACCTAAGATGCTCAGTCACAACAGAGGAGAGCAGTATGTTCTTTACCTTAGGAATGAACTTTCCTTGCATTTACTTCTGCAAAGTAATTGATTAAATTATCAGAGCTTTATGGCTGCAGCAGATCTGGAGTGAAAGGAAGTACACAGAAATAAGACAGAAAAGAGAAGGTTCCTTATATTTCCCTTTTAAGAAGGTAGAAGAGAGGACCATGTCCGTTTTTAAAATTACTCTTGTTTCTTTTTGTCTTTTGTATAATTGTGTAATGAATCCTTTAAAAAATCTTTTAAAGATCTAGGGAAGAGAAAAGGCAAGGGGAGAGAGAAATAGTACAGAAACAAAACAGAGAACAGCAAGCTTGCATATCTTACGTGTTTAAGAAGATATCAGAGTGGACCATGACCATTGCTCTTTTAAGTCCCTCACTCACTCCTTTTCCTGTGGCATACCATTAGGCTTTTCCCTGGCAGCTAGGGAAAAAAGGGAGAAAACAAAACGGAACACCCAACTTTGTAGTTCACCACTAGCCAACAGCCCTGCACTAATCAGAAGGTGACCTGGCCTTGCCATTTACATTTCTCCATTGTGTTTCTGGGTACGCACACAGTCATATGATTGGAAACACCCTTGTAGCTCTGTCAGCACCTTGTTGATGAGTATCAGTTTGCCATCAAGGTTTAGCATGATTTCTCTTACACAAGGGTAAATCAGCAATGGAACCGTGGCCTGTGTATATTAAAATCACCATAACCAGACTCCTGTACGCAGGGAGTAGAGTTGGAGGGAGTTTCTGGGCCCATTTTAGACCCACCACCTGCTAAATCTGGTCCTTCCCTTTTGTGCAACAGGCAACAAACTTTTCCCCTCTCATGCTTATGGTCCTTTTAAATGCGGAAAGAATGTCTCATTCAGGCATCATGTTTAAAAAAAAATGTGTCATGTTTAAAAATAGAAGCAGTTATGTGCTTCTGGTTGTAAACATGACATATTTCTTAGTTCTTCTTTGTGGCCTCTGTGAATGCACACAAATGGGTTAGAGTGTGCCTGCTCAGGACTCCTTAGAATCTTCTAGAGCTTAAAAATGTGATGAGTAGGACATTCCCCCGTGGCGTGCATGCTCCACCTGCCCATAATACCTCAGTTCCTTTTTGCTGCTGCTGCAATCGGACTCTTTCATGTCTAGAGTTGTTTTTTCCTATTCTGGTTTTTGATTCTGTTCTGGTTTATTGAATATCCTTTCTAATCTCTGAAGAATTTTGACTTGTGGACTGACTACAGTATTTGGTTATTGGATTTTGGATTGGCTACTGTTTGTTGTTTCTGGGCTATTCTGACCTTCAGACTGCTTACTGTTTGTGATTTTGGATTACGGATTTTATTGTGAACAATTGGGCTTCTGATCTTTCAGCTTTTGATCTTGGACAATCGTTGATGTTTTCCCATGAGTGTTCCCTTTCCCCCCATTCCCCCCTCTTTTTTCTCTTCTCCTGTTCCCACCAATTTTATAGCCTCGTCAGGTCTCTTTAAGCATTGTTCATCGTGTGCCAACAAGATCCCCTTCACAGACAGCCACGACTGCTGCTTATTTTGTTTGGGGGAGAGGCACCAGACTCACTCCTGTCTGGAGTGTAAAAAGTTGACCAAGCCTGCTCTTAAGCTCCATTTGCAGAGGCTTCGTTCATATCTGTGGGAAAAGATCACACCTTTGAACCCAGCAACCATGGAGCCTACCTTGACTCCTGCTCCTCCCACTCCTCGTCCTGAGCCTGCTGCTTCATCGACTCCTGCTACTCCGAGGTCTTCTTTGAAGGCATCTAAACTGAAGAAGTCTTCAGCATCAACGTCAACATCAATGTCAAAATCACCATCTGTGAAAGATCCTAAGAAGAAGAAAGATGGTGTTAAACAGTAGAAGGCTAAACAATCTTCTAAACCTACTCAACCTCAAGAACTTCCTCCAATATGAGTCTCCCTTCTATCTCCAATACTTGAGGAGTCGTCTTAGGAGTTGCCAGATCAGGACTCCCTTTCTGAAGGGGTTGACTTGGCACCACCACCACAGGCTCAAGCTTCGGTATCGCTACCGAGGCCGTCTCCCAGTCATGGCCGTTCTGAGGCTGATGTCATCTCCAGCCCAGCCTCAGCCCATTCTAGCCCTATGTCAATCGGGCAGGCAACAGTGCAATTATCGAATTCGGAGGTGTCCCCATGGCAATCCCCTCCACAGAAACAACTGGCAAAACATTGACATGTTTCTCCAACTCGAGAACACCCTCGACATCAAGAGGTCATACTTCTTCCTCGCCCATCTTGGCATCATACGTATTCCAAGTATAAGGAGCCGATTTACGTAGAGGTTGATCGACGTGGTGGTCGAGGTTGATACCGTGAGGACGAACTCAAGTCTTTCTATGACACCGGCAATTACATCAGGCCCAAGAGTGTGTGTTATGTATATGCCTCTCCTTCTGGATCCTCGCCATCGCCCTCACCTCCTCCACGTCGGCATCAGGACTATTGCCAACTCAACCCTCCACCATCGAAGCCTGCTGCTAAATGCCATTTGTCTCAGCAGGACGTTGCTCATCAGACATCCCATCCTTTGAAGTGCTCTCATGCCCCATTGGTACCAGCATCCTTGATATCACAACCGAGAGCTTATCACACTTAAACAGCTCATCAAGGTACGCCCAAAACGGACACGCCCCTACCAATTCCATGAGCTTCAGCTTCCATGTCAAGAGGTTGTCCATCGCTTTGGGCGATGCCTTCAGGGTGAGCTGGGACAATGTCCTTTATCTTTTCCTTCCCATTCTGCTCATTCAACGAACAATCGTCAGGATCCGTTAGTTACGAGCCAATACAATCTTGGTAGCCCCATGGTAGTCTCATCAACCATGGTTCACCACCCTCAGAACCACTCCGAATTTCTGAGGCTACCTCTCCAACCATTTCTCCTAACTCAGGACGGAGGCAATATCTGTCATCCCAACCTGGAGTCGCTTCACCTGACGGTGTGGAGGATTCTTCCAGTGTAAAAGAAGTATTGGACAGAGCTAGAAAACCTTCGACAAAATTACTATACTCTTATAAATGGTCTGTTTTCACCAAATTTACTGATTCCAGAGGACTTCTGGATCTTCCAGTTTCGTTTCCAATTTTTACCAATGGCAAGGACCCAAATGTTTTCCTCTTGACTTGGTGGGTCAGAGGCGAGTCCTTGCGGATTTTGTTGGCTACTGATTGGATGGGTGAGTGGGTTCAGAAGGGTCTACTGACTTCTCTATGTCCAAGGCTTTGCATTCTTTTAGAAAGACTGCCAAATATGTTTCAGTTAAAAGACTATAGGCTGTCTGAGCTGCATGGTAAATGTTGCCTTCCTCATAAGCAACCCAGGGCTTCCGATTCTCCCACTCAGACCAAGCCTCCTCCAAGGATCGAGGTCTGGCCCACTCGACGTTAAAGGTTTATATTTCTGCTATTGTTTCTTATCAGCCTGTAGGTTCAGAAGCTTCTCGCTTATTTTCACACCTGACTTTAAAGAGTTTCCTGAGGGGTTTGTGTAACATACGCCCACCTGTCCAGCCTCTGCTCCCTCAATGGTCTCTCCAGGTTGTTTTACGGGGTCTTGCTTGCCCACCTTTCGAGCCCATGTCTTCTGCTCATCTTAAACTTCTCTCAATTAAAACTTTGTTTCTTGTGGCTATTACTTCTGCATGGAGAACAAGCAAGTTGGCTGCCCTTCAGGCTGATGCCCCTTATATACAGTTTCACCCGGACAAGGTTGTCTTATATCCTGATGGGTCTTTTCTCCCTAAAGTGATTTCAAGTTTCCACGTTAATCAACCACTGATTCTCCTGATATTGTTTCCTAATCCTTCTTCTGATGTTGAGCACATGCTCCATTCCTTAAGATGTTTTTCGTGCCTTGGCTCTTTGCATTTCCAGAACTAAGGACTTCCATACTTCTCCTAAACTATTTGTCTGTTTCCATGGCCCATGGAAAGGTGCTCCAGCCTCTCCACAGATGGGTGGATTGTTTCTACTATCACCTTGGCCTGTGAACTGGCTGGCAAGGGACCACCAGAGGCGTTGAAGGCACACTCCACGAGAACTATGACTACTTTGACTGCCTGGTCGCGTGGCATTGAGGACCCTGACATTTGTTGAGCGGCGGCATGGTCCACACCATTGACCTTTGTGTCGCACTACCATCTGGATGTCAGGGCAAAAAAGGAAGCAAGTTTTGGAAGGCTGTGCTGACTTCAATGTTGGCGTGACGGCCCTTCGGTAAGTTAGTTTGCTAGTCACCCACCCATATGTGTGCATTCACAGAGGCCACAAAGAAGAAAGAGAGGTTATTTACCTGTAACCATAGTTCTTCAAGTGATCCAATATGAATCCACACATCCCGCCCATCCTCCCCGCTCTCCATCACTTTGGTTCTTGAGCTTTGTTGCTATTAGAACCTTGACTGCGGTGGAAATTTTGGAACAGAGGTATTTCAGGCAGGCAGAGCATGCACGCCATGGAGGAATGTCCTACTAATCACATGTGGAGGTATTTCGGGCAGGCAGAGCATGCACGCCATGGGGGAACGTCTTACTAATCACATGTAGCTGTAGAAGATTGCAAGGAGTCCTGCACAGGCACACTCTAACCCATTTGTGTGGATTCACAGAGGACCAGTCGAAGAACTATGGTTACAGGTAAGAAACCTCTCTTTTCTTCACCTTTTCTCCACACACCTGACCGTCTTTGCCTTTTTGTGAGCCCTAGTTTAGCTTGTATACATACTTGAAGTACACCTTCCAGAACTGAAGGTATTACTCCAGTTGAAGTTCAGAACAAAGGGGAGTTTCAATTTGTGAATTGTAGTTTTATTAATGGTACTGTACCTGTAATGCTCCAGAAAAGGATGTATATTTGCTTGACTACATCTCAGTTACCTGTGTATTTCTCTGGATTATGTGCTTGGTCCAGAGAAGGACAGCTTTTACACACTCATGCTGCAAAAAGCTAGGGGAAAGCAAGTGAGCCACGCGGAATCAAGCAGTCACTATAATGGCTGTCTAGCAAAGTACAATCACACTGGTGCTTTAGTGATATGCAAAGCAGCAGTCTTCCCCAGTTATAGAGAAAAGCTCTGACTTTAGTCTAGTTACCCAGTCATCCTGTTAGCACAACAAGCATAACATGCCTGCAAATAGATTCAATGCCTCCCAGTTTATACATTTCTGAACATACAAGCAGATATGTTAAATGTAACTGCTTCCAGACATTCTTTGAGAAGAATTTTTCAACTTGCACACAGAGCAATATCAGGATTTTTAGTTATTTCAGTTGTGATTCTTGAGGAATGCTTAACTTATTAAATATTGAATTGTGTGTTTTTGTATTTTAGTTTACATGGAAGAATCTAATAAATCACACTGTTTGACTGCTTAGTGATTGGATTTTTTAAGCTATAGAAATTTAGTATGGCTTACTGAAAGCAGTTTCTTAGTTCCATGCTTACTGTGTTTAATCTATAAAGAAAGTAGCACATCAGTCTAAATAGAAACATGTATTCCACAGGTGAGGTTAAAGATCACTTGCCAGACACAGGGATAACTTGTTAACACAAGCATCGTTGTTGGCACGCAGCATAAGTGGCCAAAACCCTTGTGTAGGCCAAATACAGCAATTTAAAAACTACATGTATTTTAATGCCTCATATCCTTTGGAAGCATGCAGTCAGATAAATAAATGTTGATATATTTCAATTAAAATAAATTTGTTTAAATATATATTTATATATTTAAATTTAAATTTCTATATATCCAATCAGAGTAGGTTTGTTGAGTCAACGCATACAATTTAACTGGTCTGCTCTAGTTAAGACTGCCAATTGGATTCAGACTTCCTTTTTAAGCAGGATGCCTTAAATTAAGACTGTGGTCCTAAATGTACTTGGAATAGCTGTGATTCTATAGTAGCTCAAAATTCAGTCCAACATATCTCAGGAATTAAACAACATTAATGTCTTAGTTACAGTACTCTTGTCCTGTGGAATGAAGGTTTCCACTTAAAATACACTTAACTACAGCTAAACCTTGGTTTTCCCCTTTTAAAAATGTAATGCATATAGCAATTTGCAAAAGTTACTTCACATATATTTTAATTAAATACATTACAAGCTTGCAGCAAAATCAGCTGTTGACCACACCATGCATGTTTGTTTAAAATGTGTAAGGTAATCTTGGAGTCCAAATGGACATAGTCTTAAATCAGGAAAACTATTCAAATTTATCTCACAGGAAGCTCCACTGAACTCAGTGAAACTTATTTTTGAGAGACTGCTGCAACCTGATTTATTGTGTTATCGCTATTCACTCTTAAAAATATTTACTACTGAAATTTACATAATTTCCATGGGGCAGGTGTTTTTTGCTTCAGTTATTTAGTACTCTGCTCATAGATAGTCCTTAAATATATAACTCAAATGAACCATCAGTGCATTGTATAATCCCAATGCACATCAGTGGAATATGCTATGTAATCATCAGATCACCACCACAGGGTGTCACTAGAGATAATGAAATCTGTACAGACTAGAAGCAACAGAAGCAATTTACCTGAAACTAAAGAAGGGGACGACAAGAGGATGAGATGGTTGGAAGCAATTTACCTGAAACTAAAGAAGAAGGGGACGACAGAGGATGAGATGGTTGGACAGCGTCATCGAAGCTATCAACATGAATTTGACCCAACTCCGGGAGGCAGTGGAAGACTGGAGGGCCTGGTGTGCTCTGGTCCATGGGGTCATGAAGAGTCGGACACGACTTAATGACTAAACAACAACAAAGAACATCCAGTGTTTAGTAATATCGCTTTTCCATATAGATTTAAATCTTTGGATTCAATCCTACAGAAACTAACTTACACAGCTGATCTTATTTCCCAATAAACAGGAGTGGCCTTTTCATAAGAATGGTCTCTGATAACCCTGTCTGTGCTCATCTATATTGTTTGTCTAAAAAAGGAAGAAAGAAGTCCACAAATACTTCTTTAAATATTGTGTTTCAGCAGTTTTATATTAAAGGTTAGGTAGAACAGTAACTATCATATTCAGTTCAAATTTCTTAGTATATGGATGGTGCAGCCTAGTTATCTGTCACAGGTGGAGAGCTGGCCCCTGTTTACAAATAATCTCTTAATCTAAAATGTCACAAAGAAAGTCCAAGAAATAGAGATGCCAGTTCTTTCCTTTTACTTTCTCAGATGATTGTGGAAAACCTAGTATCAGCCATGCCATCCAAAGCTCATTCATTTTTCAATGCAAAAGATGTCATCAGCTGTACATAGGATAATCTGGTCACAAATCTAACACTAAGAATTGTAACGTTTAGGAAATGGAATCTCTAAGGGCATTGTGCTGCTGCTTACAGAGAAGTCTTTACCATCAGCAACAAATTACAAAGCAAGACTGGCAAGTAACTTAACAAAAAAAGTCAGCGAATGTGATTCAATTTATTCTGACTAATCCGGTTGCTGGACTTATTTTCCATTATAGGTATTACATAGCAAAATGATGTTTTTAGCGCAATTGACTATCCCAATGCTAAACCTTTTGGGAAGCAGGCAGGGCGATCGTTGAAACAACACTATTCAAATTGTAAAGTGGAGAATGGGACCCTCTTGAATAACATCACACTCATTTCTTCTGATTTATGTTGGCAATCTCATGAGAGTGCAACCGCATTGGCTTTTTTTATGCACACTGGTGAAGTCTAAATTGGGTCATTTGATGTTGGGGCAGGGAAGGAGTGATATGCCATTTGGGAAGATCCACATCCAAATGGCATACCAGCCTCAAGTG